ACTTCATTTATCCTGTGTTTTGCATTGGCATATTTATTTTTCTTCACTGTATTTTCTGTGCCCTGTCTTTTTCTTTAGCATATTGCTTTAAAGGCAGCCCCTTTCCATAAGTATCTGTCTTGCATTGGCGAGGGAAGGAACACTTTTGACTAAGCAGCCACTCTTTTGGCCTTCTCAGTCCAGAAGGCCATGTTGTTGAGACCTGGGAGCAGTTGCCCATTGTAAACAGCATTCAGTGTGTTTTTTCTAGAAAGTGCAGGATGAGTGCAGGTACTTTTTCAAACTTGCAAGTAAGCACTAGGAAGTCATCCTTCTCTCCCACCGCTGGGTTTTTGTGCATGCAAAATGTGGGTGAGAAGAAGTCCTGCATTTGGTTTTGCAAGTATGCAAAAGAAAAAAAGGAAAAAAAGAACTACTGCTAATTTATCTTCAGAATTCAGGGGGGATTAAGTACTTCCCTTGTTTGGCTGCATTTATACTTGGATCTGTAAAAGTAATCTGAAATGACAAGAACGCCAGTTTTGTTTTTCCTAAGTTAAGATATATCAAAGTTTTAAAATAATTTTAGTGGGATGTATAATCAAATGCATCTAGGCACATGCATGTTAATCTGCATATATTTAATGTTTTAGTTTTTTTTTAAACTTTTGCTGAAAGAGTGCCATAAAAATGATCAAGGAGCTAATTCACCAGATAAATGCATTTCCAGTTAAGAGTTTGTTGGTAATTTGCAGTGCTTCTGGACTTGGGTTTCTTCCGGAGCAACAGAGACAACTCCTGCTACATCAACAGCACCAGCAATTTCAGCAGTTACTGAATACTCAACAATTCACACCAGTGAGTCTTTTTTTATCGTCCCTTTTATTTCCAGGGTTCGGGGGCAAGTGTTGATGTTTATGTAGCTAGTTTGGGTCTTGTTCTAAATCTTGTCACAAGCTTCAAAAAGGTGCTCACAGAGAGAGACCCAGGAAAAATTATAGAACTGTTTTTAATAAGAGAAGCACAAAAGGCTGCTTGAGCTTTAAGCAGTTCAGAATCTTGGATGAGAAGAAGTAGATGGCCAGATGCATTTTGGTGCCTGAGGTATCATCAAAAGGACTTTCATAAAAAACAACAACACCTAAATCGAAGTGAAGTCAAACTGCTGTGTTAGCAGCACTGAAGTGACCTCCCCCGGGTGCAGGCCTGGGCAGTGTGTGTGTTTGAGTGGAGGTCCTCAGATGACAAGACCCCCCTCAGCCTCTCTGATGTGGTCCAAAGGAAAGCAGAGCAAGACATTTAGCACCAGCTTGGCTGCAGGAGTTGCTGGAAGGAGGCATGCAAGGCACTATCCAACCATATCACAAAATTGCCACCTCTTTGCCAAGGGCCAACCATACCTTCAGTTGTACAGATGTGGATGTTGGAACAAATGTAATTCCAACAACTCACCACATAAGCCATGCATGCCTCCCATAACTCTAGAAGAGCAAAGACAGTGCCCCCATGGCTTTGCCTGTCCCATTCCTTCCAACCCGTCACTATCTATCTCCCATTTATTGGAGAAAAGAGGGATGGCTCACTTTGCTCCACAGGAAGTGGAGTGGGGGTCAGACTGGAAGAGGAGATGGTCTCCTCAACCTCTTTTGCTACTGCAGAACTGTTATGACACGCATCAACCTGGAAGGATTTCTCTTCAGCTTGAAAGATGCTTATGGCATTGGTACAAAATAAGAGGCAACGATATTCTTGAGAGATTTGTAGACATACAAACTTGCAGGCACATAGTGTTCTCTTTCACATGCATACATTTTTGAACGGGGTACCAGGATGTGGGGGTAGACTATAAGCACCCTGAAGTTAATAAATCATTTACATTCACAATCCAGTATCAACTGAAGACAGATACACAAGTAATGTTTTATTGTATAGCTCTTTAGAAAGGTGCTTACTAGATCCTGCCACCTGTTAGTTCTCCAAAAGAAGCTTTTTCATTTAGCTTCTGACACAAATGCTTTTGCTTTGTACATCCAAAGTCTACTCTGTTGAAAAGGAGAAAGAAAATGTATACTGGATTCTTGGATTGGCTTAGTCAGGAAGAAGACAGGGGCTTTCAGATATCTCTGTTGCACTACCCTTTAAAGTTTACTCTCCCCTAGATTTGTAGTCCACAGCATGACTTTCTGCTTTTCCTGGTTCACGTCTTTGTTTCTGCATCCCACTTGTCTGCTCAAAGTTGTGTTTTGGTTCTTGCAATAAATTTATTCAATGCCTGCCAGTATGCTTCATACTTAAGCAGGGATGTGAACTGGACTTCCCTGTATCAAAGCTCTGCTCTTAATTGTGGCAAAACATTAGTTCTGAGCAGGCAAGGGACCTCTCTACCAACAGCAGCTTTAAGACGCTAGTTCTGGCTGTTCTTCTGCCTTGAAGCTGTGGAAAAGTCAACTAGTCATTTTAAATCTAAACTACAGAAAAGTGTGTGTAAATCCTGGATAAGGGAGGAGTTAATTCACTCACATGTTTAGTTTTCACCAGTTTTGACTACTCATTTTTCTGAATGCAAGAAGAAACGTGTTCACCCATAAAATGACTAAAACTGTCCTTCTCCGTTGTACTTGAGGAACAGCACCAGGCTCTTCTGTATCAACTAGTTCAGCAGCAACACCACCAGCCTGAAGTACAACAATTGCAGATTTCTGGAGCAACACAGATTCCCATCAATAACTTGCTGGCAGGCAATCAGGCATCCCCACTTCATACAGCTACGAGTAACCCATTCCTTACCATTCATGGGGATAATACAGCTCAAAAAGTAACTGTAAGTATATACGTGTACTGCTCATATAAGCAAATTCAAGTGCAGGAGGAGGTCTTAACTAGGTAAAGGTTAAAAATACCAACACCAAGGGAAATGTTTATATTAAAGATTAAACGGAGAGAGGATATCCTGTTCAGCCACAAGTGTATGACTGAAATGAGTGGCTTGAACTGTCACATCTACTTTGGCATCCAGTCCTTAGACTGAGAACCCCTCTTTATTTCCTCACATACCAAACCCAAACTATCTGTAAAGGTGCTGCTTCTCAGTTGAAACAGTAGAAGTGAATGAACAGTGAATACATCTGCATTCATTATTTCATAATGAAATGTGTGCTTTGTTTCCTAAAAATCCTGTAGATATTAATTCAAATTTTGTGTACTGTGGAGAATACATAAACTGGCTGAATCCAGAAGCAGCTTATGAGAGCTTTTAGGTGGTGGTTCGCTCTCCCCCCCCCCAAGTGAGGGGAGTGCAGGCTGGAGACCAAATGTCATCCTTTTATGTCAAAAGTTTTCATTTTATGTTGCTTCTCAACCTTAGGAAGTTTTGCCATACGTAAAAACAACAAAACATCTCTCTCTTTTGATGCATTACCATTTTGTTTTAGATTTTTTTAAAAAAAACAACAAACCCTGATAATGTGACACAATTGTAAGCTGGCATGACGTGTTGATTTCGTCTCCAGAGACTCAATGATAAAAGTGGACCAGTTGCACCGGAAAAGAATTGACATTTGGAGAAATAAAAACATGAGAATTATGTGTCCTGCTGTGAGAGCACTTCATCAGTTTGCAAGTTGCAGACTCTCTGCAGGTATGACTCAATGCAACAAGGAGCTAACTGCACACTGGAAAAGCGAATCTACCTGAAGACATTTATTGTAAGGCTTTGACCTTGTTGCTTTTTGTTGCACTGAACCTTAACTGTTTTCTTCCAATTTCATGGAACTTTTAAAGTATTTTTGCATATTAGAGTTGTCAGTTTGGGCCATTTGTTTGACTTCTGCTGCTGAACTAGTAGCCTTTTAACATACCAGAGTGCTAATGAACAGACTGTCTGTCCCTGCCTGTTCCAGATCCATTACTTGTTTGAAGAAAGCAAGCCAAATTGCAGTATCTGCCAATGGCAAGTTGTTACTGTTTAGCTAAACACCAGTGAGGTTTTTTTTTAAAGAGGTACCAGTTTTCCCCCAATAAAGGACCAGGTTTTAAACTTTTTACTCCCACCCCCAGTTAACTTTAATGGATGTTTTGCTAAAGCAAGAAGTCTCAAGTAATGACAAATGGTGGCTAATGCTCATTTGGATTTTTTTTAAGGTTGCTGGAAAAAAACAGATCAGTTCAAAGATGATAAATCTTACCAGAGGAGAGGGCAACTCATGTTCTGGTAATATTTGAATTAACCCAAGTGCCTGTTGCTTACCTCTATTGGGTTGGAATTGCTTTGTATAGCTGGGCATGCACTAAACAAGTCTTTGTGAAAGCCGTCAGTGTGCTCAACCTTGCACCAGCAGCCGTCCCCATTGATCTGCCTTTATGAGAAGTGTTTGTCACTGTAGATAGCTCAGGCAAATTGTTACCTGGGTTGCTTTCCACTAATAAATTACCAAAAAAAGAAGGGGGGGGGGAGGAATTTCACATTTCTGAGGAAATGGTCTAAACGGGTGGAATTTTTTTTTTAAAAAATATTCTCACTTTGAATAGATGATTTTCATGGTATGACTATGCAGTATAGCAGAACATAGATTGAGGTTGGGATTTAATGGCCACTAATCTGAATTTGTGTGAATTATTAGTGGAAAATACTCAAGTATACTTTAGACCTACACTGTGTACTTAATTGGATGAACCTATTGTTTCTGCAATATCGTTTGGTTAAACATTGCACAGTTCTTACCTCATTTCTGTAAATAAGGTTTTGTGACAGTTTTTTGTATTGTGGAAAATTCATAAGGTGGATATTTTGATTTGTAATATTTCTAATTGGTAGATTTAATTGAAAATGAAAGAATAATTTATTTTTATATGTTCATGGGAATTTTTTTAAAAAGTCACAAATCACTTTTGTAGATAATTTACTAAAGTAAATCAGGGTGGTTTAATTTGCTTAAACCACTCGTTAATATTCTGTAACAATTTGTACAAATTGTTGCTGTTTTGCTAGATGTAAAATTGCAAGTTTATATAAAGATATGTACAAAGCTTTGGTTAATAAATTTTAATATTGTTTATGGTTGTAAAACATAACCCAACTTATTTCTTCCAACTGCAGTTTTGTTTTTTGATGATGTGCTTATCATTCGATTGTATTACACACATCGTTATGTGTGTGAATGAGAAGTCATGTTTTAAAGTCAGCATCTGAAGTTCCAGCTACGCCTGATTTGCTGTATCTGGTAGGAGCCCATGCAGCACACTCTAAAAATAGCAATATTCACTAAATGTTCTATTAACCCCTCAACCTGCCACCCTCTAGATATTGCTGAACCACAGCTCTCACCAAACTTGACTATTGTGACTTTAAGTCCCACAACAGCTTGAGGGTGCCATGTTGATCATCCCGCCCTGTAGAGATTTTGGACTACAGATTTTAGGGTGTTTTAAGTAATCGGTTCTTACATACTTATTTTTTTTGGCAAAAAAAATCCATTGATCTTATAAGCACAAGTTTTAAAGGAAGGCATAAAATGTATTCATTTATTTTTTACTAAGGCACATGACATACTGAAATACTGAGGTACAAAAATACAAGTTACTGCATATGTTGTTTAAAATATCTCCATTTTCAGTAAGCAAAGTTCTTGAGAATGTTCATTCAGCTCTTTGCCATTTTTTTCTTTTGTATGAGTTCAACCAGCAACTTGTATCGTGTCACACATTCTTCCTGCAGGCAGAGAAGCAGAATTGAGATTAAAGGATATTTCATTTTTGTTAAATGAAAATGTATGCTAGCAATTTAAAGTGGCATTTTATGGAAAACTGTCAATGGGGGAAATATCCTAAATAGTTCATAGTGAGACAATTCCATGGGGAAAATGCATGAACAAGTTGCCATACAGAGTGATCCCAGGTTCTTGCAGAGATTTCAAGCCCACTTTTCACAGCTACCGACTCACTGCTTGTACCAACCAACACATTCACACCAATTGTTTTTGCTGCCTTTCTGTGGGCTGTCAATCTAAAAGAAACAACCTTGCTCACATTCATGTGGCATTTCGCATAGCCCTAATAAAATAAAATTCACGTTAGTGGATTTTGAAATGTTTCTAATGGACCAACAGGACTTCGTAAAAGCAGCAACTGTTTGGAAAAACAATAAAAGTAACGAATTCCTAATAAAAAGCAAAATGCCAGAAACTAATATTGGGCCTCACTATGTTAACTTCAGGGATGCGGGTGGCACTGTGGGTTAAACCACAGAGCCTCGGGCTTGCCGGTCAGAAGGTCGGCGTTTCATATCCCCGCGACGGGGTGAGCTCCCAGTGCTCGGTCCCTGCTCCTGCCAACCCAGCAGTTCAAAAGCACGTCAAAGTGCATGTAGATAAATAAGTACCGCTCCGGCGGGAAGGTAAACGGCATTTCCGTGCGCTGCTCTGGTTCACCAGAAGCGGCTTAGTCATGCTGGTCACATGACCCGGAAGCTGTCTGCGGACAAACGCCGGCTCCCTCGGCCGACAGAGCAAGATGAGCGCCACAACCCCAGAGTCATCTGCGAATGAACCTAATGTCATTGTTTTACCAGTTTAGAAGCAATGCTATACAGAACCAGCCCAAACCTCCAAAAGCCCTGCCTTGAAAGGAGCTGCATGTTAGCAGCTACAGCATTTAGCCATATGCCACACCTCATTCTCAGCAACATTTGCTGAAAACTGAAGTGCATTCCCTCCCTCAGGTTGAACATTTGGCAGAATCAAGGAGGCGGCTTCAGCTTTTAGCTAGTGTACCACACCACACCCAACGGCAGAGTGCTTTAACCCTACACGAGAGCATGACCTCACCTTAGTTTTCCCCGGAACACATTTGGCAATCTTATCCCAGCGTTCTGCCGTTCCCTTTGGATACTGCTGTAAGGCCAGCTCCAAAAGCTTCTGTTGATTCTGAGTCCACAAGTCTTCAGAACTGCGGCATCTCTCTCTTTTTCTGGCCTCCTCGTCGCTATATTCCTCTTGATCTGCAGTGTCAAAGTCCTTCTGGCGCTTCCCCCTACATTTGTCCTCTGCTGCCTCTTTCATCACTGGGAGTGTCACTTCAGGGCCCTTTGGTATTGTTTTCCTCCTGCGGTGTCTGGCTTCAGTCATCGCAGTCTCTTGTTGATCTGCTGTTGCCATATCTATTGGTTCTGGGTCACAACTGTACTTTGACACGTCCTCCTCCAGGTCTTCCTCCTCTTTTTCCCGCTGAGTGATTATATGATCTGACAAGTTAACACTGGCCTTGTTGGATTTGGAGTTTTGGGCCAACATTTTCAGCTCTGACAGCCTAACAATACCTGTTGGAAACAGCATCATTTTCAGCATGATTTCAGCCAGGGAAGGGGAAACTGATCCTATAGTATTCTTATTCTGCAACTGTTACCCCCCAGTAAGTAATTGTTGAGTCAACCCTTGAAAAAAATCTGATACATCTACTAAAAAATCAAGAGTTCATAAAAATAATGAATTTGGGCTTCTGTTTTTACTTCCTCCTTTGTTTCCATGGTAGGCACACCTGAATTAAGCAATCCAGAAATAGCATCAATTAGGTATGATGCTAAAACATCTGGCACTGTTTTCTGGTTCCTTTGTTAACATGCACCTGCTACTGCACAATTTCCACTGGTTTGAAATGAATGAACTGCATTGCCCCTACTGCTAACGGTACCCTTAGTTATTCTGTGTCCTTTGCACGGCTAACCACTGAAGGGTAGAGCCTCATATTATCCACTTAATAAGGGCATATATACAAGTCCCTTTCTGCCTGGATCATTTTATAGAAGAGGCAGCCAGTACAGTTGTTTCTTGTGAGTTTCTCAAAGCTGTGGAGGAAGGATTGCGAGGTTTCATTCTGCAGATACATGACTCGAACATTATGGCTTGAGTTGAACACTCAACTCCCAGGTCATTGCAGGGATAAGGGATGGGAAGAGAATGCATTGCCATTTCCCAATACCCTGAGTCTGGTGAGGCAAGCTAAGACCCTGCATGGCGGCAATGTTATAGCTGGAGCAGGAGTTCCTATTCTCTTAAAAAAGTTTGGCCGGCGAGATCTGACCCAGGAACTGGCCAAAATAGGGGTGGGCAGAATGCGGGCAGTGAGGAAAGGCAAATTTGTGGAAGTTCACCTAGTTGCTGCTGGTTGCTGGAAAGAATACTGAACTACTATCTGATTCAGCAAGGCACTAATGTTTTTAAGCTTAAATGTTCTCCAGTCTCACTTAACACAGATTAATTATGCTCGAAGCATCAAGAAACAAATAACAGAAGCACTAGAAACTTACCAGGAGCGCACGTAACTGAATCTTTAATCTGTTTGGTTTTCATGGTGACCTGTTTAGGAAGGAAGAGAATGCATTTAATTTATAGATATGTTTTGTAAGATGGCTTAAAAGAAGACATCAAAGAAAACTGATCAAGACAAAGAGTCCAGTGAATACCAATAACCAGAACTATTGACAGAGACCAGCTGCACATTTCCATCCCTATTCAGCTATTCTAAAAGCCCAATGTGCATGATATATAATTACAATAAATATTTTATTAAATAAACATGGACTCTGGTGTATGTCTTGCAAGCAAAACTGTGAACAATCCTCCCAGATGAGAAGCAGGGTGGGGCAGGATTGTGGACATTGCCCTGAGCTGCTTAAAAGGAAGGATGGGGTAGACGTGTAACAAGTCAGTCAACAAACAACGACAACACACTGGCTCTCTCTATAGGCCAAAGGGCTCCAACTCCAATAAGAAAGGGGAAAGAGGAAGATTTCTTATTTCACCCAGATGACGCTCTTAACCTTGCTCTTAAAAAGGGGGGCAGCATCTTGATTTGCATGAAATTGTATACTGTTTTTCAAAACAGTTAATCAGTGTTCTTTAAGATAAACTCTTATTTAAATAGAAAACAACAGAAAACCTAAGACCAGCAATCAGTTTCTCTTCATGGATCACTTCCCTAGACAATCTCTCCCTCAAATAATACTAATCTAACTATGTTTAACACAGATCTGGAGCCCTTTACACCTCATGGTAACAGAAGTTAAAAGGTAGTGTGTTTCTACTCATGAGCTCAAATTTAGACAGCCCAGTGGCAGTTAATCATCTCCCTATCTTCTCTTTGACATATGGGATGTTTTTATAACTGCACCCCCTTTACCTCACACTGCCAAGCACCACACTAATTAGAAAAGTGTGCTCCTATCTACCCACCTGCCTATTGTTGTTTTGCTGCCTACCTGGGCCTTTTCCATGCAGGCAGCAAATCCCCCATCAATCTGCTATTGCAACCTGAATATAAGAGATTAGTGACTGCAGAGGCAAAGCAGCATCAGTTTACATCCTCTTAGCCAAGCAAATGATATTATTTCATGTGAATGGAACCGGAGAGCTCTTTGCTGCCAGTTGAAAAACTTACAGTGAAATAACCACATGAAAATAAACAACTAGGAGTCTGCTTTGCACACACACCAGATTGTTTTCACAATTTTTAGTGTCCTTTTAAAAACTTTAAAAAATAATGACCGTGATCCCAAGGCACCTTTCACAAGTGCCTTAGAAGTTTTTGGTGGTAGCTGCTGCCTGTTATGACACCAGGAAAAGATCCCTGAGAGACCCTGGTTCCATACAAATGCCAGGCGTTTTCTGCTCCTGTATTAGATTTGAGCACAATTTTCAGACTCTGGTAAGTCGCGTTGAGAGGGCTCTCAGTGGGATAACAGTAGCCCATTAAATACATACAGTGGTGCCTCGCAAGATGAAATTAATTCGTTCTGCGAGTTTTTTTTGTCTTGCGAATTTTTCGTCTTGCGAAGCACGGTTTCCCGAAGTCTTCAAAATCACCAAAGTCTTCAAAAACCTCAAAAAAGGCTACCACACCGCGTGCTATGAGTTGCTCCTTGAAGTCACCCTGGGTATTAACGGTTTTAAGAAAAAGGAAACAAACTTGCAAGACGTTTTCGTTTTATTTCGTTTTTTGTCTTGCGAAGCAAGAAATTCGTCTTGCGAAGCAACTCAAAAACCAAAAAACTCTTTCATCTTGCGAGGCATTCGTCTTGCGAGGTACCACTGTATTCAGATGCATGTTTCCAATTCAGGAGTGCTTATTTCTGACTGCATAGGTTCAACCTGTAACAATGCATAAGCTTTAACAGAAGCTCCACGTTCCGTATCCACTACACCACACTGCCTTTGGTCATCCAGATGTGGATGGACTCCAACTCCCATCAGCCCCAGTCAGTATAGCCAGTTGTCGAGGAGCTCGTCTAGCTGGGGAAGCCTGAAACAAGTGAGCCATTCGTTAACCAAACCAGGGAGAGCTCAGCCATTGAAGGGGGGGGAGTGTGTTTAGGAGGAGTGGGGGAAGAATGTTCAATTATTTCTTGAAGTAGTAAGAGGGCAAGAATGAGAGCCAAAAATCCAACAAGGGGGAAACGGGTCAAAGAACAGATGTGTGGAGGCAGACGTGGGGTGCTGGTACAGGTAACCGGGTCAGCTGGCAGGAACTCTGATTAAAGAGAACTGGAAGGCTTCCCTTTCATAATCGAAACGCTTGACAAAAACAAATCTAATTAATACCACAAGCCCAAACCAGGAAAGTAATTTAATAAATGCTGCATTATCTTTCCACTTACAAATAAAAATGTGATCCCATTATACTGATTGGTTTGAGAGGATTTTTGTTTTTGGTCTGGACTTTGTTTTGAAAGGAGAGGTGAAGCGGCTTAGACGTTACACAGTTGCTTCAAATGTTTAGATTCTGGAGACTATTTCTCACAATCAAGCTGACATGGTAAGTTGTGAGTTGAGGAGATCTAAGCTGACGGGGGTGGGGGTTCTAATAAAGTGGTTACCTGACTTATTTCACACCAAGGCACTGTAAAACTACTAAAACTAATCATCTTATTAAGATTGGGCAGGATACTTTTTTAAAAAATACATACAAATTGAGAGAAGGTTCGGGAAAACAAAAAGGGAAAGGAGGCACCTCACATGACCGAACAAGGAGAACAGGCTCCAGTGCCACTGATGAAAAATTGTTTTGGAGTAAAATACTACTTCAGAAGCTAGAGAAGCTAATTACTTACTTCTTAAAATCCGAATACACCTCATTTAAAAAATCTAACCAGCTTGGAAAAAGTACTAGTGCAAATAAATTTGCTCCCCATGCTGAACTTGTACAATGAATCAGGAAAGGTTCAGGAAAGAAGGAAGGGGTACACAATGCATAGTTCATTTACGTATTTCACTACAGAAGTGGTATCGGGGGGGGGGGGGGGGAGCACTGTAGCCAACATATTCCCTAATATTCTATTTTTCTATATGTACTACTAGTAGTAACCATTTTATTTATCTATAAGCTATAAACAAACAACAAATCTGGCTCTCAATTTCCTGGCAGCTAACACAAATAGAGAACACAAGCCAACATAATTTTCCTCATCCCAACAGTAAGGTAAAGGTAAAGGGACCCCTGACCATTAGGTCCAGTCGTGACCGACTCTGGGGTTGCGGCGCTCATCTCGCTTTATTGGCCGAGGGAGCCGGCGTACAGCTTCCGGGTCATGTGGCCAGCATGACTAAGCCGCTTCTGGCAAACCAGAGCAGCACACGGAAACGCCGTTTACCTTCCCGTCGGAGCGGTACCAATTTATCTACTTGCACTTTGATGTGCTTTCAAACTGCTAGGTGGGCAGGAGCAGGGACCGAGCAACGGGAGCTCAGCCCGTCGCGGGGATTCGAACCGCCGACCTTCTGATCAGCAAGTCCTAGGCTCTGTGGCTTAACCCACAGCGGCACCCGTGTCCCTATCCCAACAGTAAAAAGCACACAAACTCACTTCCATGTTAACGACCTTTTTTCCTGCAGCCAAACTCGAGACTGACATTGTTCATAAAGACCTTTATATAAATAACACTATATAGTGAACATCCTCTTTAACCAGGGCTTTTTTTCCCCAGGGGGAACTCACTGGAACTCAGTTCTGGCACCTCTCAGGTGGGCACCATTGCCATTATAAGAGAATAAGGGAGGTGTTCATGGAGAATTCGGGCACCTCTTTTTCCTAGAAAAACAGCACTGTCTATAACCATTTTGCAGTACAGTGTGTGCAGTAAGATTTTTTCCAATGGTGGACTGTTTAGCCACAAGACTCATCTACCCCCCCCAAAAAAAACTCCACCCATAGTCCAGAAAAGTTTTATTGTGTGATCTGCTGTCTGTAAATACAGCCTAAGATGGTGGACAGTGAGAAAAGGCCATAGCTCAACGACACAGCATCTGCAGGTAGGCTGGGAGAGACCCCCGCCTGAAACCCTGGTGAGGCGCTTCTGGTCAGTGTATTTAATACAAAGCTAGATGGATCAGTGGTCTGGCTCAGTGTGTGTGTGTGTGTGTACACGCACACACACATACATGCGTATGTATATGTGTATACATGTGTATTTATATGTATATGTGTATGTATATGTATATGTGTATGTATATATATATGTGTATGTATACACACACACAATTTTTTTAAAAAAATGTTAAAACCATTAGAACATATGCTTTTGTTGTCATGGCCAAATGGACAAAGGATAGCCATGACAGCTGAATGAGCTTCTTTACTTCCTCAGAGATCCTTACTTGGAGCTGTTGCCTGGCAACTGCCAACTTCCAGCAGTAGAAAACTGCTTCTATCATGGGCTGAGCAACTTTCGGTGGCTGACCTCCATTTCAGTTCCTTACAAATTTTTGGTGGTTATGACATCAGAAAAGGCTACCAGAGAGACCCTGGTTCCATGCAGGCACCTGCATTTTCTGTTCCTGTACTAGATCTGGGCGCAATTTTCAGACTCTTTGCTAAGCCACGTTGAGAGGGCTCTCGGGGCTATAAAGTGCGATAACAGTAGCCCAATAAATATATATTCAAGTGCACAATATCACCAATTACCAGCCACTGGAGAGGGATCCTTACCACCATTGTGTGCTGCCTGGGAGCTTCCTAAAGTCATCTGGCTGGGCACTGTTTGGGGAGATGTCTAAATTCAATGGACTTTGGTTGTGCTCCAGTAAGGCAATTCTTAGATTATTATAGCTGACTTAACATAAGGCAGGTGAAAAAAGGAGGGTTGTTTTTTTAAACTGGGGGAAGGGCTAAAGCCCAGTGACAGAGCAAGGCATCTCCAGGGAGGCCTGAGACACCCTGCCCAAAATCCTGGACAGCTGCTGCTTATCAGTGTCATAGATTTCATAGAAATCATAGAGTTGGAAGGGTCATTTAGTCCAACCCCCTGCAATGCAGGAATCCTCCCCACAGCCAACACCGGGTCAGCTCAAACCACCCACATTTTGGTTAGCAGACGCGCTGACGCAGTGTGCCACAAGGCTTCAATACTGAACAAAAACAATAATATAAAAATAATAATTAATAGTAATAACAACACTGAACTAGATGGACCAGTGGACTCGTTATAAGGCAGCTTCCTATGTTCCTTCAAAATACCCTCGGTCTTTATCATCCCTGGAAAGACAAAGTGAACTCTGACTACACAGTCACAAGTCTGCCACAAGGCTAGCAACTACAGTGGTCTGGACACATTTGACAGCTGCTCCTTGAAAATCTGGGTTGTATCTTGGGTTGTCTGCAACCTTCATGTTAGGCAGGCAGTTCACCCTGCCTATTGTATACCCAACTACCCATGTTCTTAATGTTCAAACCACCAACTCTCAGGATCAGTACTAGTTTTTTCATCCTCAACCTCTGAGGAGACACACTTCCTTAAAGAACTTGTTGCCTAGTGAGACACTGTCCCTAGTGGGACAGTGATCAATGCTACACAAAGTGGTTACGGAGGTCAGCTTCTTCTCCCAGCAATGGGATAATGTTCTTAACGCCCAGATGTGACAACAGCCAAGTACCATTGATGAGGTTCAACTAATTTTCATGCTCTTTCCCTGATGCCTCTGAACTGAAGAGAATTCAATTTCTTCTCTCCCAAAACAGTACTCAAGAACTACAACTCCTTAAGTCCATTTTAAAAAGAAACAACAGTGGATGTTTTGCCCCACAAAGTGCTAAATTTGTCATTTTACACATCACCGTATTCTGTGTTAGGATGTAGGTCCATCAGTGTGTGTGTGTGTGTGTGTGTGTGTGTGTGAGAGAGAGAGAGAGAGAGAGAGATCCCAAGCTTAATTAATGGATACCACCTGTCTAAACACTATTAGCTGATCTGCATTTAGGGTTTTTTGAAAGGGGGGGGTTGGCCCAACCAGAAATATTATCTTTACTTAAGTCTCACAAATGTCCTCTTCCAGCAAAGAGGGTTTACTAGAAAGCCTAAAACTGGCATTGTTTTTCTGTTATCGGGTTACAGTAGCTTGAGTCTCTAAGCGCCAGAATCCCCATATAGCTGATCAGTTACAGCTGTTAATTGTGGAGCAGGGGGACCAGCTGACATCTGCTTCTTGCTTAGTTAGTTAATGGTTCACTTCCAGGTCCTAAAAGGATTGCAGCCTCTCTCAAAAGACAATGTTGGACCCCATCTATGTCTGGCTTCTACACTGCCTGTCTTGTTCTGGTTTGTCCATACAATGCAAATTCGAGTGAACTCACATCTGCCACTGATCGACCCAATTCGTGAGCAATCTTTTCCCATCGACCAGGCGTCCCCCCTGGGAACTTAACCATACTTCTTGTCAGTTGGCTAAGGTCCTCTTCCGTCCATTCCGGTGCCTGTAAAACATTTGAAGAACATTCATTACACAAGGAGGGTTTGTCTGTGGCAGGAGGGGTAGAGACACTGAGCACAAGACTAAAGCAAAGTAATCATGCAAAGGGTGTTCACTGCAAATACAATTATTTTATAGCTTGCTTAATACTTCCTACTCTTGCTTGTTGAATAGAGGAACACATATACCTAGCAGGTCTAGTTTATTTATAATGATTTGGACACAAATGCGTGCGGGCGCACACTAATTCTACAAATGCAACTTAGTGTCAGATGCTTTAAGGTATCAACATGACAAAATTGTGCATAAAATCCATATCCCCAGGGAAGTGAATTTAGGAAAGACCCTGGATTTGTGGTTGTGTGTATCACACAATCCAATACACTACCACGCTGTTGCATTTTTAATGGTGTAACAAATCTGCCTAGATTTTTCTCCGACAAGGAAAGGATTTGTGGAGGTGGTCACAGTATCACAGAATTGTAGAGTTGGAAGGGACCCCAAGGGTCATCTAGTCCAACCCTTCACAATGCAGAAATCTCAGCTAAAGCATACATGACAGATAGCCATCCAACGTCTGCTTAAACCTCTGGTGGTTAATCTATTGGAAGCACCTGGAATGAATAGCTCCTGAACGCAGCACATTTAGGGGCAGGGGAGCTGTTTCCAGAGAGACCAATACACATGCTCCCTCAATTGCAAACCCAAACTCCAATTTCTTCTTTTTTTAAAATGACAAATCAAGCCCCCAAACCTTGAAGCAGGAGCGCAGGGGCTCCATACAGAGAAGCCTTAACATTCATTCACATGCAAGCAGCTGTTTCCACCTTCCCCTTTTTTTCTCATCAGAAAGGCCATCTGCACCAGGCTTCCTCTGCACTGGCACGAGCAGCAAGCAACAGCTTCCCATTTCTATTTATTTCTAAAAAGAGCCCTTTATGACAAATACCTCCCCCTAATCACCATTTCCGATAATGAACAGGCAGGCACCAAGCAGTTTGCATTACAGAGCCATCAGCACAGAACAACATTCAGAGGTGAATGACCCCAGAGACCATCTCCACAGCTACGGCAAAGCTTCTCCCTGACACTAATCCTGCCTGTCATTCTCCCACTGTGCTCTAACCACGCTGACGTCCGCCTGCTCCACCACAAGCTTAAACGGGGCCCTTCCCTGACTTTTCACTGTCTCCCCCAATCAATGGCTCAAGCGTGCTCTTTTCACCATGTCCAAATGGCAGCTTCACTCCTAATCAGAGTGCCTTGCCCCTGTTTAACAGGCTTCCCAAAGGCTCTGCCATTTGCATTCATTTGCAAAGCAAACTACTTTTATTCACTTTGTCCTGCTATCAAGAATGCTCCCTGAAGCAGATAAATTGGCATAAATATATAGCCTGCCGCTTAAGAAGCAGTAAATAATAGCCAATAGTGGGAAGGATTTTATCAATCATCCCCTGTTTTGTGTCCGTGCATGCCTTTGTTCACCAAATGCTGAAAATCATATCTGTGCGACTTTTTGTACAACCATAATAATTCAGGACTGGCTGTGTGGGTGGATGGAGACACAGACACACAGACACACAGACGTATATATCAGTAAGGATGTACTTTTTTCTGGGGAGGAGGAAAGAAAGAAATGTGTGTACGTATACACACACACACACACACACACACACACACACACACACACACACAGTGCAGTGGGAAACTGCCATTGCTTTGGGTCAGGTAAAGGCAGCTAATTTCCAGTGCAAGTAATAGATCTTTCTGTTGCATCATGCTCCCCCCCCCCCCCCCGGAAAGAGGCACTTATAGATATTTAATGTAAAATTCACTACCCAAGTATCATGTGCTGTTGGCCAGGATCCAAAAAGCCCTCTCAGATGTGTACAATGGCTTATTACGTACTTGGTGGGATTTCGAACATCCCACTGCTCCTGTAGCAATTTGCACTATATCGGGTTTGTGAAGCTGCTATAAGATTTGGCTGGGGGCAAGGAGGGGGGAAGGGGTTGATGCTGTCAGAAAGGGAGACACTGAAATTCTACAGGGTCCCTTGAGCTAGGAATGTGGCTCTTGGATCTTGACCTATACCATTACCTGGGGAGTTGGCAGAAAGTATGTCAAGTGTGCTTGTTGCTATTCAGCATTTCTTCAAGCGGAGATAAGTGTTCTGAGAAGTCAGTGTAAAAACAAAAGAACAGGGAGAAACTGTTTTTTCTTTTTCTTGCTATCAAAAGCTTTCAATATCACATAGCCAAACATAAGTCTAATAGTGTGAAAGTCTGCAAAGCTTTTGAACAATCTGAAACGGTGGGGAGATAGTAGGAAATGGAACAATTTCACAAATTGTCTTTCACACAGACAACATTTAAGAACACAAGAGACAGTTGCTTTGCAGCCTAGTTTCCTAACACTAATAATTAAATGCCCATCATTACTTAAAACTTAGTGTATTCAAAAAAACACGCTGAATGAAAAATTCCCCACTTTGAATTCTCGGCACAAATATTGATCGGACAAGACTTTTTTTGTTAGATTTGCCTTTCCAAGTAAAAAGTTAAGTGACAAACAGATCCACACTGTTAAAAATAAAGTTAGGTGGTACTATCAAAGGCAAGCATTTGAAGAACACATGAAGTCAGGGATAGGAATCCCATGGCTCCCCAGACATTGTTGGACTTCCAACTCCTCAGCCAAGGTCACCAGTGGTCAACAACTCTTAGAGGGACACAGCTTCCCGTCTCCACCTAAAGTGCTTCTCAACATACTTTGGAATTACACCACTTTCTCCTTGCAGCTGCTGCTTATCACAGCGTGCAGGATGCCACTTCAGAGGGTCTCTGATTTACAGGGTTTGTACCCAACTGAATTATACGCAGAGCAGACCCACTGAAATCAATGGATCTGCATTAGCTACATTCCTTAGTTCCCGTTCGTCTACTTGGAACAGGACTTATTATGGGATACAACCCCTAGAGTGGCTTTTGCGGTATGTGAGAGGACCCTGGGAGGAGAACCCCACCACAAAAGCCCTAAGCATAAAAGCAGTCCCATGTGCTGAGCTCATAATATTTTAGAGAAAAGCCGTTCTCAGACAAAGTTCAGTCAGTGGCCTTGGGCAGTTCACTCTTCCGCCCACCCCAGCTTCTCTCACAAGATTGTGGATGAGGAGATAAAATGAGAGACAGGGAGATTGCAACTTTCCCTTGAACCCTGCAGAGGCAGAGATGCACACATACCCAAAACATTAAACTTCCCGACTTCCTTCCTTACAAACACAAATTCCTTCACTATCTGGAAGATATAATGCCAGGCCTAACTTATATATTACTTCTGAGCCCCAGGGGCTACAATCAACATACCAATAGTTAAGCAAAGCCCTCAATTTAAACTATGAGTTTCCATATTCTGAAAAGAAGGGGGAAAGTTTCTTCCAAATCTTCAACATTTCCCCCAAAAGTTAAATCATTTCATTTAAGCCAACACTGCTAAATGGACTAGTCTGGCTATTTAGTGGGCTATGAATGGCTTAGGCTAAAAGATCACATTTGAATCAGGGGGCAGGAGATCTTTTAAAAGTCTATGGACAAAAGAAACATGTTTATTAGAATGTTGCTGAAAGTATTAAGTAGAACCTTGACAGCTAGGATTTAGCTATGACTGAACTGGCATAATAAACATCTACAGCACTGACAAGAGGAATATAGGGAAGGGCTGTAGAGAATCTGCTTTGCAAGTCTGGGGTTCAACCTTGGGCTTTTCTAGGTAGGGAACCCTCTCTCTTTAATTATGGAGAATAACTGCAAATCAGTGTAGATGGAACAATGATGCTGACTCGTTATAAAGCAGCAGCTTCTATGTTCCTAGAAACACCTTTAAAAGAAGAATTCGTTCTCAAGTGAGCCGCTGAAATTTGTATATTTGAATTTACATTCAAGTAAACTTGTTCATATGTTGCTTTGATCATTTCTTACCAAAATAAATTCAGAAATAAAGAAAGCTTGTCTTTTAATCGCTAAAAGAACAGGCCTCCATAACCCTGGAAGCATAGACATCCACCTTCTATATACATAAACATGTACACACTCATGCGGGTGCAGGTACACACACACACACACACACACACACACACACACACAGGCTTTTATTTTGTTCTTCTTAAGGGTTGGTGAATTTACAGCTCTTCCACAACAGTAAACGGTGTCTTTAAGATAGCCCCCTGTGACTCCACTGCTATAAGCAGCTAGGAGGGTGGCAACCCTGTGAATTTATTCTCCCTGTACTGCTCTGGAGCCAGAGTCAGATGAATGTGTAAGCATAAGCCTTTGCCACTTAAAACCATGTTTGTCCAATATTACTGAAACACTGGGCCAAAACTCATCTCTACAGTAGAGTGATGGAAGATGCCACATGGTGAGGGGACAGCTGTTGTGTCTACACAAGCATTCAGATTTTACATCAGAAAGACAGTGCTTTGGGATTAGCTCTCCACACTGAACACAACACACTCAAAAGAAGGGGGAGGCAAACAGAGACACGAGGAATCATTTTTAACACAAAAATTAAAAACAGATTACTTTCACAGCTATAAATATTCATATCGGCTGGTCAAATAACATTTTAAAGAAATTTACTGAACGAGATTTTTTCATACTGAATATAAGCTTTTAGCAGTTAACTGGGGTTTTTTTTGGTGCTGTGCTCCCTGCTCTTATGGTTGCTCTAAATACCTTTTAAATACCATACACACACATTTCAAATATTCCAAGAAAACAGCAAATATGTTTTAAAATTTCACACACTGCCCTCTTATAACCTGTCATTTACTAACAGGTTTGCAACTGTGGGCAGCTGTAGTACAGCTGCATTTTAATAGAGAGGAAAGCGCTCTTGTTCCTGCGGTAACAATTCACAATTAAAAAAAATTAATTACAACACTATTTATTTATCCACACAGAAATTTACATTCCACCTTTCTACTGTATACCTGCTAGTATATTTTTGCTCCCTCCAGTACAGTCTTCCCCAACCTGGTGCTCTTCAGATGTTTTGAACTCCTGTGTTGCTTGGAGCTGATGGGAGTTGTAGTTCAAAGCAGCTACAGCCATGTGAAATAATATTCCTGACCATTCTAACTGTTCAAGCAGAGGCCATTGCTGGAGCCAAGAGCTTGGTGAGCCCTGCTCTACGCCTTGTGCTAAGCTCCCCCCCCAAAAAAATCTGCTCCTTAATCCTAGTGCCCACATATCTTTCAGCTTTCTACAACTCTGATTTTGCCTTCTTCATCCCTATGTGGGGCACATTGCCTCCTGTCTGTGGCCTTGGTATGAGCTCTGCCTTCAACCAGATATGCTGCTTCTGCTGATAGGAAACATTCCTTGCGTGGCCACTGCTTTCAATTGTTTAAAAAAGTCTCTAGCCCCACTAGAAAGAAAGTTATGAAGCAAAATGTGTGGGCACCGGTCCTAGTCACTTCTGTGAAATAAGTCAAGCCTGACAGCTGAAATCACTGACAGGTTCACAAAGGAGTGAAGTCAGAGTTGTGACTTGGTAAGTAATTGATTGGAGACCAGTCAAGAGGAATTCCTGGAGCTCTAAAGAACTATTTCCCACTACCCTGTAAGGCAGCCCCCCCCCCCAATTCTGTCTTTCCCCCTTCTAGTCCTTAGAATCTCTGTAGTTTGTCCTTCCTTTTTCCCTAGTAACCAGGACACATCTTTCCAGTACAGTGGTACCTCGGTTTATGAACTTAATTTGTTCTGAAAATCCATTCTCAAATCAAAGCATTCTTAAACCAAGGTGTGCTTTCCCTACTGAGGCCTCCCACCGCTGGTGCCCTTCCACTGTTCGTCTTCCACTCATCTTCCAAGGCAAAGTTCATTAACTGGAATACCGAATTCCAGTTTTGTGGAGTTCGTTCACCCAATAGTTCGTTAACAGGGCTGTTTGTAGACCGAGGTACCACTGTAGTCGGCTTGTTTGAGATCAGGTAGTCCCTAGAAGTTATTCTATGCGAGTACTACTATACAATGATTGTGGGTGGATGTGAAAAAATCTCTCCTTCCCCCAAAAGGCAAATATGAAAACTTTGCATAGAGTCTTAGGGACATCTGCTGGTGTGCAGGAACTAAAGAACACTCATAAGAATTCACTGTATAGTTAATTTACATTTCAGTGGACTACATGGAAGTCTCTGTGTTTAAAGGGATAGCCTATGTTTTGGTTTAGGCTTAGCACTGGGGTGGGGTGGGGAGACAAGGTTCTTGTGACTTTAACAACTGTATGGGAGGCAGAAATTCATCAGGTTAAGACTTTTTTTTAGTATGGAAATACAATTATGGAGAAAGCTTCACAATGACTGTACAAGCTCTATTGGGATTCCAGAAATGAACTATTTTAATAAAATAAAATGTTTATTATGAAAACCCCACCACCAGGATTATCCCAGACTAAGAAACGTAAGAGGTCCAAAGTTGATACAAAATTCAAAAAATAAAAAGTTTGACTGATTTTTAAAATAAAATCGCCAATCAAAGTAAGCTGCCAAACTTCACTTTGCTACTGTTTAAAAACCATCCACTCTGCTGACAGATGGTGCAGTGCATGGTTTTATTTACACTGCAGGCAGACGAATAAAATCCAGGAGACCAAAGGAGGAAGGAGGCACAGGGCTATAATTGAGATTTCATAAGGAATCGTTTAGATGTTTTTAATACACTGGAAATATGCATTAAGAGAGTGTACTATTGTATATCCACTTCTAACACGAGACAATAGTATCAAAGGGTGCAGAATGATACCGGGATTAGCAGCGTTGCCAAAACAGGAAAGACACCTGGAATCTGTCTTGGTGTTTAACCTTGTTAAGAGACAGGCGTCCATGGTGCCTAGGCCTTCTTCCCATTTAAGCAGCGATAATAAAGCCCACTTCACAATGGCATTATGAGGAGGCTTGCTTGACTTGACAGGATGACCACCAGCAACAATCCAAGGGAGGCCTTGCGAGCAGGGGGTGGGACCAGGCCAGGCATAGCTTATGTCTGCTGCTAAGCATGCCCTCAGGGGCAATTAGCCAGAAGCTGTGTGTTCAGATGAAAACAGCAGCCTCCGTACAAGTTGCTTTGGGGCAGACTTCCTCCTACACTTTGAAAAAAGGAAAGGGAAAAGCCAGCAGCTCTGCCTGGGACCCAATTCTCCAGAGCCAAATGAGGATTCCCCTGAATGCAGGCGAAACCAAATCACCAGGCTGGGGAAGTTCCTGTGCTGCAAAGGAAAAGCAAGCAGCCAGCAACTTCAGCAGATGTCTCTGAAGACATTTCCAAAGCCATTGATATATGTTTAAACTTCTGCAGGAGATTTTAAAGAAAATGGTATTGTACTCTCCCCCCCCCCCCAATGTTCAAGTTCAGTGTTTTGGTTTTTATTCTGTTTTGAGATTTGGAGGTGCCTTTTGCTTTGGGGGGGGGGGACCTTAAAAGCACACGCAGCAAGTACAGAATTAAAAATAGTAGTTCTAAATCCCACTTGATGTAGCATTCAGGATATTCAGTAGCTGAACAAAGTCATTCTAGCATATAGCTACTGCACAGAAGTGAAACCAACAACTGCCACCTAATGCTTCCAATAGTTCATCTGAATACACTAGCAGAGGTGTGCACAGGCATAGGAATATTTTGAGAAGACAGAGCCAAATTCCAGGTGCACAGGTGTGGTGTGTGTGTGTGTGTGTGTGTGTGTGTGTGTGTGTAGCTCATCTAAACATTGATGGGTTGTGTGAGAACTGATGTCGCCAACTCTACTGCCTCCCAGAAATTGCCTTGTGGGCAACCTGAGTTTTCCCAATAAAAACCTGAGATAGGAGACACTTTTATTGAAAATATTAATGTATGCACAGATTTAGTGCTGTTTGGTGCAATCGCGCTCTGTAACAGCACTGGAGAGTGTGTGAGAGGCAGGGAGACAGACAACCACAAAAAGAACACAGAAACAGACAGATGCTATACTAATAACATACATTCACAGACACACGGAGACCTACAATTAATGCAAGCTCAGTCAAATGCTACTAAGGCCAGAATGAGAGATGGGCATAATGCTCTAGGCAGGCACAGACAACAGTAAGAGTAATGCAAGGATTGGAACAAGGGAAGATTGCACAAGCAAAACACAACCACCAACTTCTCCAAACTCTTTCAAATGCTGCTGTTCTTAAGAGTGTTAACAAGCAAAGGGCAGCGAAAAAACAGAATGCTTTCCCAATATGTTACTCTTCAGTATCCCTCCCCCAAAGCATAGTGATTGGAGAGTTCTGGTGAAGTCATTCCCTGATTTGAAGTCAGAGCCGTCACTCACTAAACTACACCCCGCTTTTTCTCCCTCCCTTCTCCGCTATTTTCCTTTTATGGAATGATTGCAGGAAGTTTTAGAAAAATGCATTGAGTGGGGCTTACAGCAGCAAACCACCCACTAAAGCAGGTCCAAGGATTTGGGAGCAGTCTGCTTTGGTTTCAACCACTTGCAGATCAGTTGCTGAGGTTCAGACATGATCCAAATACCTAAGAAGCAGCTTGCTTTGCCGTGGAACTCATGTTTTATCCAAAGCAGATGCACAGGGCTATCAGGAAGAAGCTACAAGCAACAGCAGATCTGAGTCTTCAAATCTAAGTTGCTACCAAATGCCTGTTAGCCTGGGGGGGGGGGCAGGTCCAAAGCGGGAAAGTAGGTAGTTAATATAGCCCTCCTCTACATAGCAGAAAAGTGATTCGAATGAAGCTGAAAGTGCTGCAGGAAAGGAGAGGAGGAAAGGGTCCAGGAACCTCTTCCTTCTACTGCATTTCCACGTAAAAATCACCCCACCGATCCTTTTTACCAGATTTCTTGTGAGGTTTTTTGGCAGTAAGTGCCTGCTCTGTTTGTATGAGATTCCGCCCCCTGGACTTGAACACTCAATCCAGCAGCCTAATGTCACTTCATATATTCTTTGGTGTTGTGAAGTACATACTTCACAGGGAGCGTGTACACGGCGTTGTGCAAATGGACACAGACAAGATCAAGCCCATGCCTTCTTCATACAGGTACGCTTGCCAAAGAGGCAGGTAATCATTGCTACTTGGCAGGTATACCTGCATGGGTTTGATGTTTTCAGTGCACGTCTTGAAGGTGTGCACTAAAGCAGCTTAGATCTCTACCTAAACCCTCCCATGCCCCTCCCAGTTCGCCACTGGTCCAGCAATCCTTTATTAGGCAGCGTGGATCAAAGACTGCGCTCAGCAATCCCTGCCGGTCCTGGCTACGTACAGCATCTTTCACTGACACAGATGTTATACCTGCCCTTCCCTGAAAGGTACAATTCAGCAAGCATTTTTTAACATACAAATTTGCAAGTACTAGAACAAAACTGGCTAATAACGTAACAGGATCTGTATGAAAAACCCACCCCGTTCTTTCCTTTTAAAAGAAGCAGTGGGGAAAGAGGAAGAGAGAATATGAATATGAATCCCAAACAAGTAATAAGCAATGGATTACGACAGCATAAAGAACTCATCCAGCTCTAGTGAGATGGAGAATTATTGCTTTCTCTGTCACTCAAGCTACTTTCCAGCTATCCACAACCTTATCCCAATCTAACCAGGCAGCCTAAACTGCCTGTGACATTGCGGCATAAAAATCTCCCATTTAGTCATGTTTGATCTAGATTGGTACAACAAACATGATTGATGTGAATACAGTTTCTATGAAGAAAATCCTGCTTCTTTTTAATCTATTAAAGCAGGCATTGCAGTCACATTTTTTTTACTTTGAGGCTATTATTAATTAGGCCAATTAAGTACATATCAATTCTGACATTCCTATCTCCTGAGTATCCCCACCAGGTCTCAAGACAGAGCGTAATTAAGACGCTTATTTCTGAGCCATGCTGTTTCTGAATACTTTACAATGTTGGCCAGATTAATTTATAGTAGTTGTTTTCAATTATGTAGAATAAGCCTATTACAGCATTTTCGTCGATGGCAACTGTTTATAATGTTGATAATCATTGCCCTTGTAATATTATCCAGATCTATAGTGTGTCCACAATTATATTTGCACTGGTCCAATTTTATACGCATGCTTTATTTAGTCCTGGCTCATTCTCAGTATTTGCTGTAGTCCTGAGACAAAACTAATTTCCCAAAAAACCCCCCACAAAAAACCTAAGGCCAGATTCCCTTGGCAACTCATTCATCTTGCTCTTAAACCTCATCCAAGTCAGCTACAATTGATATGCATGTGGCAGATGACAAAAAGGCTATCAGTAGGAAGAACCAGAACATATATAGATTTATTAGGATCACAAAGAAAGCCCAGTTGTGCAAATTATTAACCAGGCAAGTCTTTGCTATGCTAAATTAGTCACCCCTGTTTACCATTTTCATATTCTCAGAATTGCAGAGGACATTACACACTAGCTAGCAAGCAACAAAATTATACCTTGGTATTTATTTCACAAACCCTCATTTTTCATCTACGGTAAAGATGCTTATTATAGCAAGAATGAAAAAAAATGGTTAAATTCAGATACGGTTCTAGAAGAATAAAGTATTATTTTCAGATTAATTTAAAACATAACTCACTGATTTCTGATCTAGTAACTATTTTAAATAATTCTGTCATAATTTATTCTAAATGGAAACGAATAAAAACGAGAGAGAGAGTAAAAGGTAGCAATATAAAGATCTATGCAGAGCCACAGCATACATACCAAAGTACCGATACAAAAATCTACATGTCCTATTGGAAACATTTATGAACTCGCAGTGTTACTTTTTTAAAAAAAGATGCAACAATCTTCAAAATTGTTTCACAAGTTTAACATGTTGGTGCTTGGATGCAGTTCAAAAGCCCAAACCAGCCAATGTTAATGTATTACGGTCACCACTTAAAAAAAGAAGCAAATGCTATCTGTTTTCACCAAAAGGCTCTGAAATGATTCATGCTAACAAGCTACTGTTTGAAAGTCCTAGGACTCCAGACACGGATGACATGGTTTCACACAGTGAGGATTTTATAACAGGACTTGGTGTCATGGAGTCATCTGCCTGCACCTGCCATTTAAGGAAGAAGGCAGGGGCGGGGGGAGAGACTGGACAAATCAAGGAACAAAAGGGGTCAGAAAAACCCATTTTTCCTTTGTTTGGCTTCTGCTGATTGGCTGCAGCAGTTTTCAGCAGAAAGCATGGAGGAAAGGAGAGAGAGAACAGACAAATCACGGATTAGAAATGTCCCCATAGGAAGTAACGGAAAGCACCAGCTCATTATACCTAGCTCACCTAGTGAACAATTTCCTGTGAACACACTGAGTTCAGAGAGTGGGACCTGTGTGTATAGTACCACCATCTAAGCTCATAAACCTCTAAGCCACTGAGGTGCCTTCAAGCTTTTATCCTGGGACTTGGGAAGCCACCAGCAGATTGCTGCTGGATGCAAGAGCCGGCCTCTGTCCTTGCCTTATTCCCAGTTGCACAAACCTTGGAACATGTTGCTGGAATTCCTAGCTTGGGAAAAGTCAACCCTAGTGATCAAAAGCATCCAGACAACTTCCAGTATAAGGCAGGGAGTAAGAGACATAGTGAATAGCAAGATGGAAACAAAACACAAACTTAGTTTCTAGGTAGCCTAACACACTGAGCATGCCGTAAGGTTCAGCTTACATTAGCCTGGCATTATCGATGGATCTTCAATATATTCTGATCTCGACCAAAAACAGTAAAAAAAAAAAAAGACCTCACCTATATATTGTGCTTCACATGGCCTGTCAGTTGTTCAGCACAAAACAATTATATTCATTGCTGTCTGCCTCTCCTCCAATAGACCATACCAGGCACACCTCTCCCCATCACCATTTTAGCCTGGCTATGTCCATCAAAGAAATAGTAGTTCAGCTTGGACTTAACTATTCTTTAACTCCTTTTGCATTAAAATGCTAAATGTAAGCAGCTCCCTTCCCCCTGTGCCGTGAAAATGCTTTACATAGGTAGAAGAAGGATTGGAATATTGTATGGGTGTTAGGGCTGGGTTCTAGTATGAGCACAGAGCCATAAAAGTGGTTTCAGTGCTTCAAGTCACAAGAAATCCTTTGGGATCCTATTTTACTGTGGAAAAATTCAAAATATAAGCAGCTTTTGAAGTGGCTATTATTTAGTGCTAACAGTACGTTTTTCATACAATAGTGGATAGACAATGTTATTTTCTTCACTTTCAAAACATTAAAGGAATAAATTGAAAATATCTATTTGTATATACATTGGAGTGTATGCTGTATTTTGCAAACAACAACAATGTAGAGAGATGTCTCCTATTGTTCTGCAAATCATAAATTCCTGATGCTGCACCAAGTGCTCAAGAGGAAAGAAAGCATCACAATTAGAAATAGTTCATAAATACTCAAGTCCATTTTAAGGAAAAGAAATTAAAAGGCAATTTTTAATTGAAAGGCCAATATAATTGGTAGCACTTAGCAGAAAGCATTAACTCATTTATTTCTGATTAGCTTCCAGGCAATTGTTTTAATTCAGAAAAGATGTGAAATACTCTTTAGTAAATTTGATTATAGGATACTCAGGCATGTAGATCAAATAATCTATGGGTTGCATTGTGTTTGGCCTGTCATAAGGCAGGTGCCGGTAGGCTATAGCAAGAGCAATATTTTCAAAATGCACAAGTTTTGGTAAGTCGTGCTCACTCTCCCATAAGAAAAAGTCAACATCACCCACATCAGTTCAACACCACCTAAATGAAACATTCACACCCCACAAAATAAATTTATTTCCCATAGGATGTGGTGATGGCTACTTGTCTGAATGGCTTTAAAATAAAAAAGAAGAACTAAACAAGGTCACAGAAGACAGTACCTGCCAACTATATAAACCACATGTGTGCTGCCTTGGGCTCCATGATGGAAGATAGGAAATGTATTTTATTTATTTACTTAAATATTTATAAACTTTATAATATATACATAAAATGTATAGCAGGGCTCTGTGTAGCATTGTAACATAAAACTACAATAACGTCAATAAAAACACCTGTAAAGAACAGTTAGTTAAAAAAAAAACATTTTCCAAAGGCCTGTCTGAACAGCACAGCTCTTGAAAGGAAGAAGAGATTACTTCTGCCAAACCGGCAAGGAGTGCTATGGGGCAGGATCTGTCACACTAAAGGCTCAGTCCCTGGTAGAGTTCAAACCTCATTGAAAGATCTCAGTAGCTGAGGTGGAGCATAAGGAACCCAACAGACCTTAAAGGCATAAATATAAGAAGGCGGAATCTTCATTGGCTGGATTATAAAAACAAGGACCTTCTCAGCAGCAACGCTGTGTCATTTGTAACATCTACCCTTAGATCATCATCAATTTGGTTTGGTAGAGCTAAGAAGCGAAACACACAACTAGCTGCTGGTTATCTGTTCACTTGAAAGAAAAAAGTCAGCATAAGAATGGTTTAGTGTTTCAGATGTTTTATATTTATGTTAGTGAATTATTTAGTTAACAAATAATTAAAAAAAAAAAAACTGGCAAGAAAGCACTAACTGACCTTGGCAGACCTACATCTACATATTATGGGATGCTATAAACTGCTCTTTAAAAAATCCTACTCTTAAATCCAAGTCAAAACAGAATATACAAAATCTAGCATGGCAATGATGTTCTAATAATCACTAAATACACGCAGAGATTCCATATTGAGCTCAGTTTGGAAGACAGCCAGACTTTTTTCAGCCCAAAACAGGGGAAAACCAACCCACTGAAGACTCTCTGAAATATGCGGTAGTTTTAAACTAGGGATTACTATTTGAGATCAATCCAAAAGCTTTCTGCAATGGAAACTTCACTTAATTCTTCATGAACCTACTGATGGCATCTCTGAATCTTGCAAAGGCACCCAAAGCACTTAATAAACATGGAGCATTACTGTTTATCCTGAAACTGCTTGACAGCGAGGTGAGATGTTTGCGGGGACTCTGCAGAATATGAAGTACTAGGATGGGCAAATGGTGGGGGGGGAAATCAGGCAGAACTTATTGACTGGCTGCTCAAATGCAGGAAATAGGCACAATCGGGAGGGTTCACATCCTTACTCAAACCCTCTGAAATCACATTTCTTCCTATCATCACATTAGAAGGAGACTAGGAGTTCCTGGTCCAAGCTTTCAGATTTACATTATGCTTAGCGACAAGTTGCCTGAGGCAATGCACAAACTTGCAATAAACAAAACACAAAATCAAAATTTAACAGCAACAAAACAAAAGCAACATGCACATATATGGCAGCAGCAAGCCGAGAGGGAAATCAGCGATTTAATTAACTAAAAGCCCGAGTGTTTGTTTTCTTTTAAAGGTTTTAACAGCAAAAGCCAAGAAGTGAGAAGGCCTGATAAGTTTCCCACAAAGTGTCTAATTTCTTCCCATATCCTCTTCCTCATCCCTCACACCCACACACACCCACACACACCTGCAAAACCATCTCCACGTTCATGACTCAGGCTATACTTTAAAAAAGAATAGGGCATAAACTCCTTCCTGTCTTGGTCCAGTATTGCACATACATTTGCACAAATGCTTTTGTACCCTTCAAAAGCAATGATAAACAGGTCTGACTTTCAAGGAGGAAAAGTACTAACATAAAATAAAAAGACTGCAAATAACGAAGATTATCACATGCCATAAAATGAATTCTGGACAAAAGTAGGGGGAAGGAAGAAAATAATTTCAGGTGAGTGCAAATATTTAAAAGTCACAAGTCAGGCCCCGTCCTACGGGATTGACCAGAAAGATCACAATACACAAACACAGCTGGAATAGTTTAGAAGGCCCAGAGGAAAGAGTTCTGAGCCTTAGCAACACCTACCATTAGTTTCAAATGTATCTACTATAAATGAAGCCACAATGTTTTTGTAAAAAAATAAAATAAAGGAATTAATGAGACTCAAACAAATAGAAAAAGAAAAAAACTTCCATGTGTGCTAGCATGAGCGTAATTTTTATTTTATTTACTTTTTTATAAAATGTTTATTAGGATTTTACAATAAACATAGGTTTAACAAACTAAAAAAAAACATAGACAGAAAAAGAAAAAAGATAACAAGAAAAATACAAAAAATTACCAAAGAAAAAAGAAAAAAAATCCTAGAAGAGAGAAAAAAAGGAAATACAAAATACAAAAAACAGATGGCTTAAAAAAAAAAAAGGAAAAATCCATTTTTCAATATCTTTAGGCTCATTTACTTATTTCCTTGACCTCCTCACACCTCCCCTTTTTGTATTCCCGTTTACAAAAACCTTTCAGCAAATCCTTACCCTCTTTCACTTATCTTTACTCTGTGACTTAACCTATTATAACTATATATTTTTGTCCATATGACTATCTGTATTTGCATATTCTTTTTAACCTTATTACCAAAACCACTTATTTTCAATCCAACATCATTTTAACATTCATTAATTTTACAGTATTTCTGCAAATAGTCTTTAAATTTCTTCCAATCTTCTTCCACCAACTCTTCTCCCTGGTCTCGGATTCTGCCAGTCATTTCCGCCAATTCCATATAGTCCATCACCTTCATCTGCCACTCTTCCAGGTTGGGTGAATCTTGTGTCTTCCAATACTTTGCAATAAGTATTCTTGCTGCTGTTGTGGCATACATAAAGAAAGTTCTATCCTTCTTTGGCACCAATTGGCTGACTATGCCCAGGAGAAAGGCCATGAGCGTAATTTTTAAAAGCAGCATACATGTTTCAGACATCATCTCAGAAGAGGAATTTGCCTCTCATCCGTGAGGAAATGCAGGTAGTTGAGACACTACCTGCTGTGATACATGTAAATATCATCAAAAAACAAGGGAAGTGTGTTTCCTCCTATGTCAGAAGTATTTTTTATTCATATGCAAATATATGTGATTTAATCAACTGATTGGCCAACTAAAACTCATATAAGATTTATCAACTAAGATCTCTAAACTGAGTAGCTGAACAGACACAGAAATTGGGAAAGTCAAGGACCTTGAGTGGTTTATTCCTCCTTTGGAAACTCTCTTCTGAATGCTGGCACCAGCCTTCCCCTGCCCTGCCCCATCACCACTAGAATAGCCTTCTTCAACCTGATTCCTCCCCACAGTTGTTTCAGACTACAAGTCAGATCAGGGATATGAGAGTGGAATCCAGCAGCATTTGGAGGGCACATGTTGAAGAAGGCTCGACAAGAGACTCAAGAGAGATTTCTCCCTTCAGATTTTAACTCAGTTTCACCTAGCTATGTTGTAGCATGGCATTTCTTCATCAACAAAGACAGGTGGCAACATCACTTCCAAATAATTTAATTTATTTTGTGGTTTCATTTTAACATACAGGACCGACCAAGGCAAATTGATTCCATGCTAGGGTGGTGTAGTGACCAGAATACTGGGCTACATCTAAAAAGGATCCCCACACAGTCAAAAAGCTCATTGGGTGACCCTGGGCCAGTTGCCCTCTCTCAGCCTGACCTATCTCATAGGCTTGTTGAAGAGTGGGGGGAAGGCACTTGGGTTGGGTGAGGCCTCTTAGGCCACCACAAGCTCCTTGTAGAAAAAGCAAAATTTTAAAATGTATTAAAATAATTTTAAGAACTCAGGATTCATTATTTTCAGGTAGTTTAAGTGTAAATACAATAAAAGAATTGTAGAGTTGCAAGGGACCCCAACGGCCATCTAGTCTGCAATGCAGGAATATGCAGATGGCTCGATATTGTTTATCCAAAAGGAGCACTACCTATATAATGGGTTTTCTAAGTTTGAAACTTGGTTCAACCTTTAGACTATACAAAGACTTTTGGCTAAAAATAACCCACAAACAGTTATTCAGGGTGGAATTTTAGTTCACTCTGTCCTACAAAAGTTGAGGGCTAGATATTCATTAACTAACAATTCCTTTGAGTTATCAATTTCTGGCCATGCCTGAGCGCTGAATATCCTATCCTACGTACTGAGCATGTCTATTCATGTTTGACAGGTTTCACTGAACATTTTCATAGAATCATAGAATTGTAGAGTTGGAAGGGACCATGATGCCCATCTAGTCCAACCACCTGCAATTAAGGAATCTTTTGCCCAACACAGGGCTTGAATTCACGACCCTGAGAATAAGAGTCTTGTGCTCTACCAACCGAGCTATGCTAGTTAATGCAAGTATTGCAGAGAGGAAGGAGAAGTGTTACATGTATATTGGGGAAAGGATGCCTTCTCTCTAAGCATTTCACTTTTTCATAATCTGTAAAAAAAAATGTTATTTGGACTTGGCTTAATTTTAGAAGTTCCTGAAAAACCTGCCCTTTTCAAAAACAAGCAACTTCCCTCGCAAGTGACAATGACACCCTTTTGAGAGGGTAAGTGAGACAAGAGCTGTAACAAACTGAACACATTGATGGTGAACCAGAAATGATTTCGTTTTGCAAGATGCTTCTTCTAGGGTAATGTATTGTTTTTGGGAAGCTCTCTAAAGGGTGGTGGTGTCTGATCACGTACAATTTTGTTTCCTCTGCTGCGTGCGCACTAGACAATTACTTTGGGATTTTCTTTAGCTCTAGTTCAGAGAAGGCAGGGACAGGCAGCTCACCTTGTTTGGAGTGAGCTTCTACTTAGTATTTATCTGCGGCCAGGTTTCTCTTTGAATGGTATTGTAGAAAGGCTGTTGCTAGGGTTTAAGGGATACTTTGAGATATAAATGTCATTGTCTTGCCTGCTTCATCAAATGGGTTTGTTGCTCTGTCTATACTATTAAGACACCTATCATATTACTCTGTTGCCATTTAATTGTATACCTTCCCGCTGTCCATCTAAGGAGCCACCATATTATTAACTGGAGTCAGAGAAGAGAGAGAGCATGTTTTGGCAAACCTGATCTGGGATTCAAGCTGAACACATTCTCACTGTTTTGATTGCTATTTCTGTGACGATGCCAGCAACTCGAACGTATTTAAACGAACGAGAAAATATGATGCGGAGGAACAAGCAAGCTCTGCCAAGAGATTCTTGCGTGTTTCACATAAAAGCAAAGAGCTGTCCCCTTAGATCACCAACCGCAGGTGTTTGACCATGGGCTGCATCCAGTCGTAGTCATACTCATGAGTAGACACAGTGAAATTAAAAGCCATGACTAACTCAGGTCCATTAATTTCAGTGGGCCTTCTCAGAGTAGAATTTGGTGGGATAGGCACACACATTTAAATGAATTTGAATTTCAATAGGTTTCCATTTTGCAGATGAGCAACACTGGTCGCTGGAAAGAAGCAGATGCCACAGTCTTATAAAGCCCTCAACAAAAATCACATGGTTCATTAGAAGGTTTCTAAAATGTGTAAAATTTTGGGCTTCCTTCATGCATTGGTAACTGGCAATACGCTCTGCAAATCCAAGATAATGGTCACTTTTGCTTCCCTGCCGTGCCCAAGACTCACTTCCTCAATGTGCGGTAAATGAATTGCTGCCAATCACAATTGCCTTATTAGGCTCATGTAGAGCCACACACCTACGAATCCATCTGTCTTTCATGTCTTAGTAATGCCCACTTTGAAGAGTTTTTTGTTCTAATGTCAAACAAACCACTCACTCTTGCACTTCCTCCCTGCCAAGGACCCTTCTCCGACCCACAAAACTTTACAAGAGGAAATCTAATGTAAGCACCGCAGAATACAGAAAACTGAAAAATTTAAACTTTGAACATTTAGCACACAGCTGCCATAAGGACCAATGGAACAAGCTCTTATTGGAGCAAACCAGTCCCATTTCCTGATGTGTATATCAGGTTATTTAAAAAAAAAAAAGAGAGAGAGAGAGAGAGAGAGAGAGAGAGAGAGAGAGAGAAGGGGGGAAATTACATTTGCACAGCCAATCTCACAAGAACATGCATGGATTTTCATACACAAGGAGAGAATTTGCATGCATTAAAGTGCAACACTCTTAACAGTGGGCGAATGAACATGTAGATATAGTATGCAACAACGAATACAATCGCAAGTCCAGATAACAAAACAAAACAATGCATAGGACTGGGGTTTAAGTGCCTTTCCCCCGATGATTAAAACGAACTCAGTTCAATGGCAATTAGTTCCATCAGCACATTCACCGCCCCCACCTACCCCCGGAAAGAAGAAACCATTTCTTTTTGTCCCTCCCTTGCCTGGAAAGCATGATCTCAGTAATCAGGAGTATGACTGCAAAACTTAAAGCAACTGCTCTCACAATTTATTACTCCTGGGGGGGGGAAAAGATTGGTGCAGACACTTCCTTACACTAGCAACGATGGGATGGCCACATAGGGGCCAACTCCTAGGGGCCAAGGTCCCTTTGGCCCCACCCTTAATAAAATATTTGAGGGGGCTGTTCTTGTTTTTCAATTGCTAATTTTAAGACTATTTTACTGAAGATGTTGTTGTTGTTATTTTATTGGTATTTATTGATTTGTCCAGAAAGGCAAGACAGTGTTGAGCAATCCATTTCTTGCCTGGACTTGAAACACTTTATTTAATTTTTAGAAAAATAGATATGCTTGCCTTCCTTTTTAGCGATTTGTTCCTTTCCTCCAACCAATCATCCAACTGTTCTTCAACCTCTTCAATTGAAGCGCCATGATCATACGATGGTATAAATGCATTTGTCTCTGCCACAGTGTATACAGGAAATTCAGATTTTGGTTTCTTGACTTTAGGCTTCTTTTCCTCTGCAAAACAAAATTAGACCTACAATCACAAACTCTGCCCAGAAGCATGATTTAAACACCTATTGCACCCACATTTTATAAAGCTGTTGTCACGCTTATAGATCACAGCTGCAAAAAAAGAGGTTACAACTTGGATTTTAGACATGCAGGGAGCAATCCTACACACAAGAAGCTGGCGTAAAGCAAGCTGGGGTAACTTAAGCCGGTGTAACCAGAACCAAACCCTGTTCAGCAGTAGGAATGCTGCTGCTTCTCTGCCTAAGCCTGGCAGATAGAAAACAAGCCTTTAAAATAGTGTTTTATGCCAGGACGCTAGTTCAAAAGTCTGAGCTGAACGGCCTTAGGAATGGGCTCTCTTTGGTGCTGCCATGCCATGCTCCCAGAATGCTCTCTTTCTAGGACTTATACAGTCACACCTTGGAAGTCAAACGGAATCCGTTCCAGAAGTCCGTTCAACTTCCAAAATGTTCAGAAACTCAAGCGCGGCTTCTGATAGGCTGTAGGAAGCTCCTGCAGCCAACTGGAAGCCGCGAAAACCCCATAGGACATTCGGCTTCCAAAAGAACGTTCGAAAACCGGAACAGTCACTTCCAGGTTTTGATCATTCGGGAGCCAAAACGTTCAAGAACTAAGCTGTTCGACTTCCAAGGTACAACTGTACTGGCTTCAGCTTAGTCAGTTTTGGCTCATCCAACTCAGCAAGTTATGCCAGCATATCCTCAGCCAAGCCAGGGTTGGAGAATGAATGCGAGCTGAGCCCAGAATCAGCCAGCTGAGCCAGAGACCCGTTGCCTCCTAAGCTGTTCCTTTCAGTGGATCTTGCCTTAGGATTGCTCCCTTAATGATCAGAGGGCTTATTTCACTAGAATAGTCAAAGTCCTCGTACCTTGATTTTCAATGTGCTTTTTGGGAGTTAACGTTTCACAGCAAATTTTCTTGGAACCATGGCAGCATACTTTTATATCACAACAGCTTTTCACACGATGAACAACTGGGAGGCAGCTTATTGTTAAATTGCTTATTTGTACTTTCTCTTTTACAGCTTGATACCTGCAATTACCACTCATTTGATAATAAAATAAGCCCAAATCATGAACGTTTGCAAATTTTCCATTTAGCTGAGAATCAAGGCAAGAGCTAACTATCTAGTTGTCTTACACACATCTACCAACTGCAGTATGGAGTTAATTTAGATGTATCTTTACTGGATTACTGTAAGGATTGATAAGAAGGTAATGTCTGGGAAGAGTGTGAAGCACTCAAAACCACCTTAAAAATGTTAAGTATTCTTATACCTAGCCTTTCAAACATGGTCCTCAGGCAAGTTTGCAGCAATCATCAGAACAGAATAATCAAAAACTCCCCCCCCCATGTGTAATTAATGGAAATATATATATATATATGAATGAGATGCACACAGAGCTTTTAATATATGACACAACAATGGATGTCTTTGGACATAACATTAAACCATAGTTTTGTGTTATGTGCATGAGACTCAGACCTGGGTGCTCCCTTTCCACTTCCCAAAATATTGAAAACCTTTGCTTCCATTTTCAACTAACCACAATTTGTGGGGTATGTTTGAACACGGAAGTGTGGTTAGTCCCACTGTTTGGAGGACCAAGAAATGAAGTTAGTTTGAAGTTGGCTTGTTTCCCTAAGCCATAGTTAAGACTAACCAGAATTTGCCAGGGTAAGCATACCACGCATCACAATGCAGTTAACTGAAATCAGAAGCTCCTCCTCACAACCTGCCAGAGGAAAAGACTTCACAAGCCCAAGGTTCACATAACAGGAATCTCTAGTTCAGTGTTATGTCCAAACACAGCCATTCTATAATGCTCTGGTCTAGTATACCCAAGCAACACAACACAGGATGGGTTTTCAGGTTCAGAGCAGGATTCACTCTAAATAGGCTTCACAGTAAGAGATATACAATAGCACCTTGGCTTACATTACCCTTGGGTAACGTAAACTTTGGGTTACGGAAGCGGCAAACCCGGAAGTGTTTTGCCATGCGTGCATGCGCAGAAGCGCTCTACTGCATGCACAGAAGCGGTCCCACCGGTTGTGGAAACCTCGGGATCCGACCGGAGCTCCGGAATGGATCCTGTCCGCAACCGGATGTACCACTGTAAATGGATTCTATAGCTCAAAATGAAGCATGATATACACTTTACAGCTGAAGACAGGGATAAATGGAATGGGCATTTAGGGATTTTCAGTTTATAAAAGTTTTAAACCCATAATATGAAAATGTGTAAATTAAACGGCTAAGATTTTTTAAGTAATTCTAAATAAAAGCTTTAAAGAATCCACATTCTTCCAGTGTTCTTTTCAAACAGTTGGCAGTGACCGCCAATGTGGCTTAGTGGCTCGATTGTCAGACTAAGACCATGGAGACCCAAAGCCCAAAGCCCCACTCAGGCATGAAGCTGACACAGAATGACCTTTCAGCACTCATCCCTCCATCTAACCAACCTCACAGGGTTCTTGTGAGGATAAAATGGGTTTGTGGGAGTCATATGGAAGCCATTCGGAGCTCCTTGGAGGAAAATTGGGTGGGATTGTGTAATTACATAAATAAGATATGCCATGCAATTTGTTTTATCATTATCAGCTGAGATAATAAGCATCATTAACCCAATTAAAGCTATCTCAGACTCCAGTGCAAATCCCTCTAAATAAATCAACCTCATGTCCTACTTTATACTATATACAGGACAAAAACATTAACATTCACTTTTTGTGGGGGAAAGCCACACAGGACAGTGCTAACTAGACAGCTACAATTTGAAGTTACTTTGCATAATGTTTGTCCTATAACAGAAAAGGATGAAAACAGGTATTTTCCAGGGTCAAAATACGGACATAAAATGAAGCAAACTGGAAAGTGTACAATAGCACAAAAAGGTAATAATATACACAGAAATATTGAAAACTCAAAATTTGTAAAATGTGTGGGTTGTAACGAAAAAAGTAAATTAGGCACAGCTTTTCCTAATGGGATGGTAAGTTATATATTGCAGTTAATCATGCTTATTAAGCAGTCAAGAGAGTTGTCTCTCCAAGTTCTAATTCAAAATATCAAAGGGGTCACAGCTTTGCCTCATAAGTTTTGCATCTACAATTTCTGCAGGTGCATATAATTTTGAGTGCATTTTAGAATACTTAGAAGTCAAACCAATTTGGAACTGCTATAAAATGCACCACCAATTATTTGAATTATTTCCAGGCAGCCACAAAACCAAGGCAGGCTCTCGGTGTCTGCTATTTCACTGCAGACTTCTTAGGTATTTTCTCTTGCAAATTATTAGTATTTCTATCGCATTTCTGCCCAACGTTATTTGTTACTCAACCAATTCGTTTGTGTGCATTAAAATTTCTACAGAGAATTCAGAAATGAAAATGTTATTATGCAGCAACTTCGTACTACAGTGAAGTTGGTTCAGAGCAATCCTGTTTTCTGCAGTTGCTGCAACACAGAGAATACATTTGTGAGAGAGAAACTGTGATCTTACCCCACCCCGCCGTCAGTCATATATGGGTATATGTAATCAAGACTGTGAATAAAAATAAAAACTTACTCTGAAGTGTTTCCAGTTCAGCTCTAGCCAGGGCCTCTTCTTTCTCCTTCATTTTTGCTTCTTTATATTCTACATACAGTTGTCTGGCATCCTTTAAAAGAAATGTAGTGGTATTAGCATCTGAAAACAGCTGGCTGCAATGACACCATTTTATATGATTAGATTCAAGCCCTATCAATTAATCACTTTGGGTGAGGGGGTATTCCTGTGCTGACTCAATCAAATATTTAAAATAGTGACACTCATTACACATGAGAGAAAACAGCATGAATGACAATTGTGCACCATGACATAGTCAAAACAGCGGAACTATGAAGAAGTTGCACTGGAGCAGCATGTTAACGCTCATGAAAATGTAATTGAGATCATTAAAAATGTTGTGTTTGCAGATTTTGAAATGTTACGTTCCTTGCTGGCTTCCTACAGTGTGCAATTGCATGCTATCAATGGCTGCCACAAGACACCATTCCAACTCAGTTGCTTATTTGCACAGATCAATGTGAGGTATTTTACAGAAGTACATAATTTGATTGCATGCTGACAGCTTCTAGGAGCCACTGGTGAGAGCCAAGTGCAGGGTGGGGGCCAAAGGTGGACAAACTACCCCTGAAAGAGCATGATGTTGTCTCCCACCAGAGGTACTACCCCTCCCCTAACACACCATGGGAAACAGCTTCAACTGGCCAGTTAAACTAAGTGAGGGTAGCCTATGGGTCTCAAGCCCTTGGTGAATTAGGGACTTCCCCAGCATGTGACTACAGGCTCTGGCATATTGAGTGGATGAGACTAATAGTTGGTCCAATGGCCCACAGGGCAGTTTCTGTATGTGCTGTAGAGCATAACTGTCAACGGTTCCTTTTTTAAAGGGAAATTCCCTTATTCCAAATAGGAGTCCTCGCAAGAAAAGGAAAAAGTTGACAGCTATGGCTGTAGAGAGAAGTGAGGGGCAAATGGGGCTTGTCAACTTGGGAAGGTAGCCCATCTAGGAGAAAGAAAACTCTGATCTGAAAACTCAGGAACGATACTCCATGATCTGATAATGCTGATAGTCTTTACTTTGACTTATGTGCAACTACTCATTCAATGTTCCTATTGTATAGTTTTGTTTTTCAACTTTTAATTTTCATCCGTTATAATTGTTCTGTTTTAGATACATTACAGAATTAAATAATTTTAAAAACTTTACAAATAAATTGTATTAAGACTTGCTTGTGGGCATTTTTGTAAAATGCTTTTTAAAAAATGATCTATATATACACATATGTTTTAAAAATAACTAAATAAAATAAAAGCTTTGCCGGCCCACCCAACTGAACATAGCAGGACTTGTTTCCAAGCAAACATGCACAGAGTTGCACAGAAGGTGAGCATTTGTCAAGGCCAGCCAAAAGCATTGTGGACTCTTTTGCCATGACTGTGAAGTGCATTAGCATAATAGATGCCAGTTTATACTGCTCAAGCATGATGTGTCGTCAGGCTAACCTGACAATCTTGCAGCAGAGAGCAGGGGTAAAGGTGGAGTAAGAAACAGGGAAGTGTTTCTGCCATTGAGGATTAGAGGTTTTGCTGCTATGGGCTATAAACTGGGATATTCTATCTAGTTCGTTCCCACTGCAGAATATCTTATCTGTGAACACAATAAATTCATCTCATGAAGACACTGCATACGCTCGAGGCTTCAGAGATCAAGTGATCATGTGCACATATAAGCAATAGCCCAGGAAACTTAAAAAAATACACTGTATTTTACATAGTTAAAAAACAAAACTAAATGCATTTTGACCTTTCCAGATTCAAGTACATAAACATGTACAAATGTAGAGATACTATCTCATACAATAAATTCTGGCTTTTCCAATCAAAGTTATTTCACACTCATGTGCAAGGACACCTGATTGTGTTGCATTTTATTCACTTAGTAGTAATTTACCAAAATGTGATCATTTATAAATCTTCCACATGGTGCTTCGGAGATTACATCAAATGCACAATACCAAGATCCCATGGATGCTTTTTGCTTGTGGCTTCAGCTTAGACACAGTCAATCAGCATTTAACTTTAACCCCTTTGACACTGAAAGCCAATATTTGATGCTAAAATCTGGAACAGAATCTATTATTGCTTATGCGACCTCCAGACATCAGACTCTAAGGGGTATCTGTCAATCTTGCTGGCGTGTCAATCATGAAACAATTGGAACTGAGACTCAGACGAGAATGACAGAAAGGAGGAGGAAACCAAACAGAATCTTCAGTAGTCAAAGCAGGCAAACACAAATAAATAATTGTGATACACTTATAGTTTGACTGGTCACCACCGCATGTTAAGTGACCAAATGCAGAATGTGGGTTTTTTGTTTTATGAAGCTGGATCTTTTCACTTTCTTCTGATCAAGCAGAAGACAGTTAAAATATGGAGTATCTTCTCTACTGAGAGTCTGAACTCACAAACTAATACTGGATCATCATATCATGATATCCATATTAATTATTGTAATGAACCTAAGCAGCTATAACCCTAAATTTGCAATCAAAATGGAAAAAGAACATATGTTCTCTCTGTTCCAGATAAGTATCAGAATTTATATATTATATAAAAATATACACAGGCCAGACCATTGGCCAGCATAGCTCAGTATTCTCTGCACTGCATGGCTGCAGCTATCCAGGGTTTCAGGCCTTTTGCATGCAAGCTTGATGCACTACTACCAAGCTGTGGTTTAGGTATATGCACATTTTTACATGTAAACTCAAAAAAATCACTGTGATTCTCCCACAACCACTGCTGCTTTCATGGCAACTACATCATTTCATTCTGCCATGCATTTCACTAGATCAAGGATGGGCAACTTCTGCATTGTTGGGGTTTGCTTTCATTATTCACCAGACAATTCCAAGGAGATGCAAAATACTCTTCCCTAGACAGTGCTGAGAACCGGCGTACAAAATACTGGGTTAGAGATGGATAAGAGATAGAGAGCCAGGGTAATGTAGGGGTTAAAGGGTTGGAATAGGACCTGGGAGATCAGGGTTCAAATCCCCACTCAGCCATGAAGCTCAATGGGGGACCTTGGGCCAGTCACTGCCTCTCTGACTAATCAACCTCACAGGGATTAAAGGAGAAAGGAAGAGAACTATGTACACCCAGCGTTCGAAACCCCCATTGTTCTAGGCACGTTTTGCGACAGGGAATTTCATTAATGCGAGCAGTTTCTGAGCTCTGGACGCAGTGCTGCGGCTATGATTTCAGATTAAAACTGCCACTACTGGAATGAAAGGAGGAGCTTTTTCTGCCTCCCCACTTCCAGCTGCTCTCTGAAGACTGGAGAAGAGACCCTCTTAAGAATATTAGGGCGGGCGGGCAGGGGAAGGACTAGACCATGTGAAAAATGAACACAATATTTTAGCTGCAGTTCATTCATTTTCAGCTTTGTATTCTTGCTATTAAAAAACTGTGCCTAGACCCTCCGTTGCGGTGCCCATAACCTAGGTTTAAGCTGCCATTTAGCTCCTAGCTTTCATATCTCAGTTTCTAACACTGTGTATACACCACACTGAGCTCCTTGGAGAAAAAGGTGGGGTATATATGCAATAAATAAACCATTAAATAAACTTTGTTGCACTGCTTGGCTCTTTCATGGATGATCAACCTCTATAATTTTTATTTATTGTTATTTTTTCACTTCATTTATATAACACTTTTCTTCCAAGGAGCTCAAAGTGGGGGTTCTTCCTTTCCTATTTTATCCTCACAACAACCCTGTGAAGTAGGTTGGGGTTAGAGACAGTGACTGGCTCAAGGTCAGCCAGTGACCTCTGAACTCTTGTCTCCCAGGTTCTACTTCTAACCACTACATCCAATGCCAAAGGAAAGATACTAAATGCAAAAGAAAACCTGATACGTAATATTTTGATCTTTTAAAACAATTTTGTGTTATTTAGCGATAGACAAAAAAGTATGACCTCCAAGTCTTGATTAAAATTTGGATTTAGCCTCTGCAGCAATTCTGGTCTACAGGCTGCCAGTAACAACTTTGACAATATTCCTTGTTGACCACCCAAACTTCAAGCAAAACTATTATCTGCCCTTCATAAAATCACCCAGCTTCTTAGTTCTGCACCGAGCAAGACAGAAGGTAGAAAGGTTTGTCTCACGCAGTGCAGAACTCAAGTTACTGGTCTGCAAAAATAAATAAATAACAAAGCTCAAATACAATTCACTCCCTGCAAAATAGCCTTGTTTACTTGAGTATACAGTAACGATTGAGGGGCCCCTCCTTTGATGTGTTTCTTAGATATAATCCTTCCATCTGCCTCACATCACAATAGGAAGAGAGGCGTAAATTAAAACGAAACACACAAATAGATGGCTAAGGATGCAAAATGCAGGCATTTTAAACAGCTTTTTAAGATTCTTTTTTTAAAACAAAACAAAACAAAACCAACAATCTGACTGCTGGCTAACTGGACTGTTCCTTTTTTAAAAAAGAAAAACGCAACAACAAGAACAGCAAACTGTTCCAGAACAGTGGTGAGTATCTCCAGAATTAATGTTTTTCCCAAGTAATTACAATGTTGTCATGAAATTAGAACACCTACAGGTCATTGACTTGAACAGCATCCAGCTAGTAAATGCGTAAGAATAATTAATGTATTCAGGTTTACATGGAATCAACCGAGGGTGTTTAACCCAGTCCTCCCTGTTAGCGAATACAAGTCTGAGTTTTTTGGGGGGGTGCATTGTGTTCTATTCTTTTTTAAAAAACAAAACAAAAACCAACCTCTCCCACCTCCATCCTTTAATTTATAAGAGAATGGATACCCTGCCTTTCTGTAAGGCAGCTAAGAATTGTGTGAAACAATAAATTAAAACAATTAGAAACAGCTTTGGGAAGCACACCGTGCTATATTTATATATTCTATACAGCTCTTTATAAAGTGGAAGCAACTGCATTCTACCAACACAAATCCACCAGGAAATTACTCTGCCCTGGCTCCAGGAATTACACAGTCATGCTCTTTCATTGCTCCCATTCATTTTACTGGGAATTTTGAAGAAATTCCTGGTGTATATTCCCCCCAAGTCTTCACTAGACCTCACTGCTGAAGATCTGCAGGTAATGCAAGAGCTTCATTTTCTTTTAAAGGCCTATCATTTTTGTAGAAACCAGGTAGCAATTTTCCTCCTTCATTACTGTAGTAACCCAAATAAAAGATGCATAGTAGAGCTTTGCTGGCATCCAGAAATTTGATGCAAAGTGAATGCAAGCTTGCATTTTGCAAATGAAGACTTCTTCCAAAGAAAAAGGGAAAACAATTGTACTTCAGAAATCCAAGTTTTTAAAGTCACTCCCTCTGACCCATGCTTGGAAGACACAGTTTTAACATTTGTTTTAGTGAAGCAACGAGCATCTCTTAGTGAAGCAACTACACTCACGGATAGTTAATTACAGATTTCATTCTAACTAACAGCTGTGTTCTGTTTTAGATTCTCAGTTTGCACTGGTTTCCTTTAGACAAGTCCACTTCTGGTTCACCAGGCTCTTTAATGGACTTTCAACCCAATTTTAACTGGGCTTATTTGGAAACAAGCCCCAATGAAGTCAATGGCCCTTGCTTTGAAGTGCTAAGGACTACAGCCTTTGTGAGCAATAACACTAACTCTGCATTATGGGATTCAAGTTAATGTTTAATGGTTTCGTATAAAATCTGCAGGAAGTAGAAGTCAATTCTATCACCCATATATTGCTTTCAAAATGAACTGTTCTGATTTTTTTTAAAAAAAAATACTTTCTACCCCAATTAAAAGGGGGAGATCAAGAACCTGTTAACAATTTGCATTTTTAATACAGATTTATTATTTTAAAAAGCACACAAAAGGATAAAACCCATCTCAACACTATGCACATTTTTCAGTTGTTCACAAACAATTTTCACTTCTCAACATGTGGCAGTATTACTCTTGTCTCACACAGCAACAGAACAGCTTGTCGCTTTCCTACAACTTATTTTACAGTACCAGGTTTTTAGCAGGACTTGATATTTCACTGGTGCTTCAAAGGAGGGACACTAAGGTCAAAAAATGGTTCCTCCCCTCCCAACAAAACAGAGGTTGAGATTCAACATATAAGTCCCATCTGCAAAAGCCCTGAGTAAGACTTCCAGTTGGACAACAGGGCTTCCCCCTCTCCTCCTCCTCTGTGTGCCCCAAAATTGGTTGGGAGGCATGAGAACTCCTGGAACCACACTGGGGGGGCGGAGAGGGGGGTCATTCTGTGCGGCAAGCTGGAATGCTTGCACCGACAGAAGATTCAGAAGTGTGTGGTGCTGAATTCTTCCCACTTCCTCAGACACTGTGGCAATGCAGGAGGGAGAAGGAAAGCTCAGGTTGGGAAAGTGTCATGGAAATTCTCTTTTGGAAAGCACAGCATAAGAATTCTCTGCAAGTCCCCTCATGTGTTGCAGTGTGCTTACCAGTTTCTCAATGCACAGTAAAGCTAGTGGTGCTTTATGAATAGACTATACCTAAGCACCAAATCTGAGGGTGGGGGGGCGGGGCGGGGAATTTTACAACTTCAGCCTTGCAAATATCCTTTTGCTCCCTTTGCCCTGCTTGGCTTCATTGGGTCAGCTATCTAGGCAGTTTTTGTAATTAACTAAAATTGAGAGCATACACTTTTGGAATGCTAGGCCAACCTCCTCTCCCCACCCCCCACCCCGATGTAGCTTTAGCCTATAGAAGGCCATCCAAATTATCTGAGGGGATTCTACACAGGACATGGCAGGACAGCTGATCAACACATCACAGAGCGGGGAAACGTCATTTCCCTGCACCAAGTTCCTGCACCTTTGGCTCTTCAGAGATTGCTGGGACTCCAACTCACATCAGCTCCCGCCACCATGGCTAAAGGCTAAGCATGATGGGAGCTGTAGTTCAGCACCACCAGGAGGGCCAAAGGTTGGCCACTCCTGTTCTAGAGGCCAGAGATTCATAGCAGAGCTTTGCCAGGAAATGCTTCCAGGTCAGGGGTCAGCAACCTTTTTCAGCCCTGGGCCGGTCCACCGTCCCTCAGAGCATGTGGTGGGCCGGACTATATTTTGGAAAAAAAATAATGAACAAATTCCTATGCCCCATAAATAACCCAGAGATGCATTTTAAATAAAAGGACACATTGTACTCATGTAAAAACACACTGATTCCCGGACCATCTGCGGGCCGGATTTAGAAGGCGATTGGGCCGCATCCGGCCCACGGACCTTAGGTTGCCTACCCCTGTTCCAGGTTCAAACCTCAGCATCTAAATTAAACAAAAGAAAGGTTGCAGAGAAAGACCTCCAGTGCCACTATTTGCAAATCTCATGCACAGAGAGATCAGTGCACCTGAGATGCCCTCCCGAGATCCCAGTGCAAGGAAGACTTGCAGACGCCTTCACTTGAGAGGCAAAGATTTGGAAGCATGCCTAAATGGCACTTCAGCTGCCCCCCCCACTTGTTAAACGTACACATCAGTTCCCTGCGCATCAGAAATCCATCTTAATCTACCTCCTCCCCATCCTCCACAAAATAATTAAAAATAAAGCTCTCAAAAAATTATGCTTTGAAACCTGCACACCATTTTTCTTCCAACTCTAGAGAACAGAGAACAGCTGGCATAGCAGAGAACAGTAAAAATGACAATGGCTAACCTGTGGACATGCATACAAAGCAGTTTTCTCAAGTAAAGAACTACCTTAATTATTTTAAGTGCCTTCGTGTATTCCTCCTTCCTCCCCCCACCCCCCCGCAACCCCCAGTTAGGGGGAAAAGAAAAGGGGCAGGAGCAATGAAAAACGTGCGGTTGGATAAATGACAATCAGATGCGGGTAGCAGCTTTGCAACGTGATTCATGTAAATGGATATCCTGCCACTCACATTTCTTTTATGTTATATTAAACAACATAGAGGATTGGATCCAAAGACCTCCCCCCCCAAAAAAAAACAACAATCCTGAGTTAAATGGAAAGCGCTTCTGCTCAAACACAAGGGGTAGGTGTGGGTGACTGTTACCACTGTTACCAACGCCCAATTCTGCTTCAGCCCTGTATGTTGGTCCTCCCCACACAGCCCCTCATGCATGCAAAAGCCATTCCAGAGAAGCCTTTCAGAATGGCATGAAGTGGCATGATGGGTCTTGAAGGAGAAAACATCACCCATGAACAAGCAGAGGCAACTTCCACTCTCGCAGGAGACCTCTAGAACCAAATCACAGTCACAACACAGTTTTAATTGGGCAGGGGGAGGCAGGGGAGGGAGGAAACTCATTGCTTGGTTTCAAGAACAAAGAATCATCTCTGTCCTTTAACAGTCAGAAGAAAACCAATTCAGCTGCTTAGAACTTTGAAGGAAGGAAGTAACCTTGCTCTCCTCAACCCCCACAAATGTGCTTTAATGAGGGGTGAGCTTAGGCATGGTAAATAACGCTTGTTATTTTGTGCTTTGCCCCAGTGCATGACTGATTTCTTGGGAGCACACGGCTTTGGCTGCTAGGAGCCCCCTTTATCTACAACATTGGCTACAACAGCCTGCTCCTCATGTTGAAGACTGGAATCTTGCTGCTATCATCGCTGCCTTTGTAACCTTGAGGATAAACTACAAATACTCTCTGCGTGGGCTTTAGCCTTTGAAAGCTTTCTCTGCTGCAGAATGTAGTTTCCCTCCTTATTCTGCTTCCATCAGGCATAGGGAGTAACAAACATCCTCCCAATCACTGGAAAAAAATATGCTCCAACCTCTCTCACCATTGCGAATTTTACTGTCCTTAAACAAACAGCGAAGTGCTTCTTTTGCTGTGCTGGAAGCAGCTTAATACAGGTAAAAACAAAACACTGTACAGTGGTACCTCGTGTTACGTACTTAATCCGTTCTGGAGGTCCGTTTGTAACAGGAAACCGCTCATAACATGAGATGCGCTTTCGCTAATGGTGGCTTCTGCTGCCGCCGCGCCACCGGAGCGCGACTTCCGCTCGCATCCCAGGGCAAAGGTCGCAAAAAGGGGCATCTACTTCCAGGTTGGCGGAGTGCGTAACCCGCAGCATTCATAAGGGGGGCGGTACGTAACACGAGGTACCACTGTAATAATTTTTTAAAATTTTCTTCAATAACAAATCCACTCTCTCCTTGACAAAAGTCAAATCAAGAAGATTTGCCAAAATAAAGAGGTCTTACAAAAAAATCAAAATAGTGATCAAAAAATCAAAATGTAGAGATGGAGGAGGGAAAATCCTTTAACTCCAACAAAAAGGTATTCTATAACCTTGGGGCCACTACTATCAAGGTCCTGCTCCTAGCAGTAGATGTCCTAATCTCATGTTATAAGAATATATGGAGCAAGACCCGGCTTGCCAAATGCAAGTGGTTCAGGGGCTGGTACAGAGAGAGTCAGCTCTTAAGGTGGGAATGTCTCAGATCATAAAGGGCTTCAAAAGGCTTTAACTCACACCTTGCATTGGGCCTAGTGATGGATATCCCAATAGCAAGAAGCAGCCACAGAATTTTGCACAAGTTAAAGCTTCTGAATCATCTTCAAGGGCAGTGCCATCTGGAATACGCTGCAGGCTATTGTAACTTGCCAGGGTGGCAAAATCACCTCTTTTCCAAGAAGGGACAGAGCTTATATAGAAAACACAGTTGCAACATACCCCTATGGCGACTTGCTGAGATTGGGATATTTCACGCTCACCTGTCACAGGCATAGTGCCCCACTACAGGGTCTGAGGATTCCTCACCAGAATCACTTCCATCTTCATTAATTCTTCCTCCTCTACCCAACTATCACCTCCTACACTGGCTAAGGGCAGAACTGAGTTGCAGGAAAGTAAGAGCATACTGATGACACCAAATCCTAAGGCTGCAAATGACTACCATTTATTCACATCAACAGTGAACAGTATTTACAACATCATCATGTGCCTGTTCCCACAAAGCTGAGCTCACATTTCCAGCTTTCCACCTTATCCTTTAAGCAGGAGGAAACGTCTTTCAATGAGACACTTATGTTTCTAACCAGATAACCACTGTCTGGTCAGACTGGTCTTCCCCATGAGTCCAAACAGCATGCAACAGCCTCCACAACTCTCAGCAGCATCAACATAGCTGAGGGAACCCAAATCAAATGCAAACAAGCTACTAGAGAATTACTGTGGTAATTGGGAAATACCTGAGCAAGTCTGCCAGGAAAGAATCATGCAAAACTGTCATGGAAAACTCAAGTTGCATCACCATCCATCAGAGCTGAAGAGCCTATACATCAACTAGGAGAACTTAGCAAGATATATTCACCTAATGCAGCCGATTGCAAAGTACCATGTACCATGTATCCCAGCTCTTCAGTAAATTATAGAGCTGAGATCTGGGATGGGGGAGGAAAAGAGAAAGAGAAGGGCCTGGGGGGCGGGGAGCTCTATGCTGATCACACCAGTGCACAGTTATGCCATATAATGACCAAGATGTGGACTGGCCTCTCTCCATAATTTCTCATTACTTTCTCTGCTGCATTCTGATTCTGTAAACCTGAAGAATCCGTAACATTTCAAAGGTAGACCATCCTTACTATCCCAGTCAACAGATTCTTGTCCAGCTCAGAACAGCAAATCCAGGACATGATGTTCTACATGTGCAAGGCCCAATACAAACTGGAATAGCTACACAACTGCCACAAACTGTCATGAACTGCACCAGACAAGGAGGCCTGAACATGTATACTGGAGTGACCCAGTACAATTCCTCAGGGCATCTCAAACAGCAGTCTCAAGATGATCGCACCAGCTGAAAGAGTGCTACATAGCCGGAAATAATCCAAATTAGTCCCTGGTATCCAACACCGGGGCAACCAATCAAGACCAGTCTACAGTGGTGCCTCGCAAGACGAAATTAATTCGTTCTGCGAGTTTTTTCATCTTGCGAATTTTTCGTCTTGTGAAGCGATGCACCCTGGGTATTAATGGTTTTAAGAAAAAGGAAACAAACTTGCAAGACGTTTTCGTCTTGCGAAGCAAGCCCATAGGGAAATTCGTCTTGCGAAGCAACTCAAAAAACTAAAAACTCTTTCATCTTGCGAGTTTTTCGTCTTGCGAGGCATTCGTCTTGCGAGGTACCACTGTACCTGTATAAGGTAAAATAGCCACAATGCATTGTGACCATCCCTACCTCATATATCTCTGGCCAAAGTTGATGGTGGACACAAGTTAGGCTAGTATAGGTCTACTCATCTCATCCAACTAGGTTGGAGGCAAAATTATTTATTATTCACTGGTCTTGCATTTACCAGCACTAAGGACAAGGAGGAATTTAAGAGATCCAGAATTCCAAACTCCCCAGGTTGGACCAAGAGCCAGTACAAAAATGGTTTTCACACGCACTTCATACTGTATCCATGCAGGCCCTAAAGCTTGCCATACTCCTCTAGCCAAACTTCCTTATCCACTAAGCAGTCTCGGCAACACTAGAAGGCCAACACTGCAGTGGTGCTTATCAACACTTCTTTCTCAATTGCAGACAAGTCAAAATAGAATCCCCAGATAGAAGATATGCATCATGGACCAATCAAAGAGCCTGTTCTCACTTGCTCACAGAGTCAGGAGCAGGAGACAAGAGGGGCTTTCCAACTAGACATAGCTGTTTCAAGTCCTACCAGGAACCAGCAGTTTCTTCATGAGCTTGTTTATCTAGCAAAGGGTCGAATGGACTTGATCCACCAAGTCCTCCATCTCTCTGGAGGCTTTGCAGTCACACACAAGCTCAAAACTATCCATTGCACACATGGGAGATTTAGAGGCTAAAAACTTTCTCCTCTACTGCTTTGCTTTGTCCTCTTAGCTTTTAATTTACATCTGCCAGCACTAGCACAGCCTGTAAGAGCTCTGTTATCCATGTAGATACCGGCACAGTATCAAGGTCTGGGTTAATAGGTTGCTAATGATGGGCAGATTTGACGCTTAACCTGTCTTGCTCTGCATGGTCTATACCAAATACAGAGAAGTGTGTGTAAAATTAAAATGCCTTAATAAGCTATTAAAGGAGATCTTGTACAATGATACCTTAGGCAACAGAAGTGTTGCTTTCTCACCTCAATCAAATTTAATAAATTTCTTAATAAATTGACCACAAATGCACCAATCTTGTAATACTGTACAGTACTGTTTTATAACACTGGCCAAGAACCAATTATAAGTCTTAGGAACACACACAGACACACTTCAGCAGACTATGCTAAATTAGGTTCTGAACATCTCCCTAACTCAGGGATAATGTACAGTTTGAGGCATTAAGACATTCAAATAATTTATTAAATTTGTACTCTGCTAAAGAGAAGAAGAAGAAAAACCAGAGTAATGACAATAAATGCGCTCTTTTTAAATAATACTTTGCTTTCCCACCTTTTTGAAACCTGAATTATTACTGCTCACATTTATGTATTTTTATTACTGATATACCAATGCTACAAAATATGAGCAATTACTCATATTTTAATGCTTTAGGGTCCAATATACATGGCAAGTCTTTCAACACACTGCTGCTGATTCAGAAGTCTCATTTTAGGAGTGACGCTTTCCCCTCCTTTTCCATTTATTTAGCCGAGCTCTCAATGATTCAGTGTTTATCATTCCTATATGGGAACCATTGGGGCTCCACTGTTTTTACAACTATGAAACATTCTCTAGGCTCAAAATAGTTACTTGGCCAAAGGCAGAAGACTCCTAAAAATAAAACCAAATGCTGTTCTGTGGGAGAATTAAACGAAAAGTGGAATCGTTTCCAAAACTACAAAAGGAAACAAAAGGAAACACACAACTCTGCATTTTTACCTGAAATAGCTGAGGCAGTGCTTTTACTGTCAAACAGAACCATATTCCCAGCTTGCATGGAAGAAGGTCCTGCCACTGTGGCTTCTCTAGCAACCTATAGAAATAATAATAATAATTCAGTAATTTATATGTATATGTCTTGTTGCATACACTGTGATGAAAGCCTCCAACTAGGAACATGAGGGCTAAAGAAAGTAGCATCCCACTATGGGAACCATGTAAATATTTCCATGTAGAACATAATCAATAAAACAAATATATTCATTCCTAAACATTGGGCTTGCCTGCACCTCACAGAATAAACCCCAGACTTTTTGACGGCTTCAGTACGGGGGGCGGGGGGAGAGAAACTACCACCAAACCAGTCACAAGCGCTGACAACCAGATATGAAGTCTGTAGCATAAACAAACCAATACATAAAAATTAATGTCATTTGCAGTTCACTGAAGCATTACTCACTGATGTCATCAGAACTGAAGACAGGCAAAATGGTCTGTGCTCTCCATCCTGCATTGATCCAGTTCATGCCCCTGCTGTGTGAACTATTTAAACCCTTTATTTCTTTCTATGAATCAATAGAAGGAATGGTGGTATCTTTCGGAGTATTCTGAATGTCACTATTTCCCCCCATGTTGTTTCTTGGCTTTAAAAAAGGGGGGGGCACTGTATCACAGGATTGAGAACATTTTCCTAACGTCTTTTTTGCTTCTAAGGCCAAACAGTGCCAGCTTATAATCTATGCTACCCTTAACAGCAGATAAGTCTGGAAAATTAAGATCCCGTTGAATATCCTGCATGCAATAAACTCCTTGCAGTTAATTCCTCCCCTCAAAGTGAAAAACTACCAAATTTAAATTGGCAGAAGTTTCCACACTTTCTGCTGGTTTCCCCCCGCCCCCCCAACAATGTATTAATTTCATACAATCAACCCACAGCTATGTCTCAAAAATTATTAGAACTAATGGAAATTGCTTAAGTTATTTTTTGTGGTTGTTTTTTTAAACAAACACTACAAAGCTTCTTTTCCAAGTGTCAAAACATTCAGAAGTTGCTACTTTTATGTGCCTGCCTGGCAAGAACTATTTCAGCGCTTCCTTCCCCACCTTTCATTCTTGTCTACACCAAGTTTCGCTTCTTCCATATTCTTCCCTCCTGCCCTCTTCTTCTTCTCTTTTTTTTTCCTGCTAAGCAGCTCATCCTAATACAGAGAGGAGGGGGGGAACTGTTAGAGGTTATCAGAAACATGTGCTCTGCAATTGTTAGGAAGATTCTCCAATTAAGAGCAGAACAGAACAGCATTTATGCAAATGCGAGGGGGGGGAGCTACATGATTAAGTAAAATCATCTAACAATAACTGTTACCATGGCATCTCCACTCCTTAAGCACACATGAAGTCCAGCTCTGCCAGTCATGCAAATATCTACAGCAATCAAAGTTTCTCTTATTTTTTAAAAAAATTAACTTCTTTCCTCATATGACAACTTTAATACGGTAGCTCTGAAAACACAAAATCAAACAAACAGATGCTAAAGTTCAAATTTTGCATGTAAATAATCATTGCTCTTTTGCTTTCTGGCAGACAAGAAGGAAGCAACATTTAAAACATTTCTTTTGCTTCTGTCATTTTACCATTCTAACCCTGGAACATTTATCACATTTGAAAGACACTTCAATTTGGGCGTTGGGAGGGGACCCTCCATTAAGACATTAAAAGCCCAGGCGAGTATGAATTTCAAACATCAAGAATGGAAGCTGGGGGGGGGGGAGGAAGAACCCCCAAAACCTGCATTTGTGCAATTTGCCAGGAGGGTTAGGTAAAAAGATCCCTGAAAGTCACCAATACAGAAAGCAAAATGGTTTGCATTTTATTGTTAAATGTTGCAGATCATTTAAAAGGCGCTTTTTTTTTTCTGCCGAGGGGTTCATACTCAGTTATTGGATTCAAGTGAGGAATGTTTGTCAGTCTGTAATTACTAGGAAACTAATTTAGAGGGTGTGGGTGTGATGAACACTTTTGCAGCGATTTTAAATAAAACTTATTTCCGATGCTTACCAGTTGTTTTTCCAGGTAGATTGACCAAACCACAGCATAATGGCCCACTGTGAGGATAATGAACAACAGCAATGCCAACTCTGCATTGCTCATTTTCCTCACTCGTCTGTAGTAAAATACAGGCTGTCGCCAATCTGGTAGCCCATTGATCAGAATATCATCATACCTACAGTGGCAAAAACAAACAAGCTTTCATGAGGCATTTAAAATGAACCTATTTGCTTTTTTAAGAGAGAGAGAGAAAGAGAGAGAAAAGTATGGAAATTCTGTTTTACTCATCCACTTTTCAAAAATATTAAATTTCCGCAGCAGCAACAACATCATTTTAATCTGGGCTCCTGGTAAACAGAATCTTCTTCAGCGACTGGATAAAAAGGGTAGCTCTACTGTTCTAACAGCACCCCCAATTGATTCACTTGAGAAATGTTTTTACTCTACAATGAACCATATGTTCAACCTACCTGTCAATCATTGGTCATGTTCCCAGAATAAAAGAATTACAAAGGGATGGTTTTAAGTGGGAAGCAACAACCACCAAATCCATTTGCTAGCTTTGACTCCTTAATTTAGAAAAATATGGGGAAAAACAACCTCGTTCCTGTTGAACAGAGGTGTAACGTTATTAAACTTTTTTCCTTTGACATGAAAACTAATTTAGAAATGACTTGCAATGTACAAGTGATTGGCATTTTCTTTAAAGGAATGAAATTTGAAACATTATAGGCTGCTAAGTTTGCATTTTATTCTAGCGACTTTTCTGCCTTCTTTTCTCTCTCTCTGTGTGTTTCATATAAAAAGCCATTTGTTAGAAATAAATTCTTTCTACATTTATTATTCTTGAAATCAGTTCTACTAGTGATCATTTACGCACACACAACTCTTAACTGCATAAACCACTGAAGTAGATAACTTTTAGTATAGAAACCTGACAAGCCTATTATTAGGAAGATTTAGAATTGAGGCATTTAAAATACTGTATGTTAAGATTAATCCTAAATGGAGCACGACTCATTGAATATTCTAATCACGCTATTTCCAGAATTAAATCGGCACTGAAAAGCCTAATTTGGTGCAACACACTGACCAAAATATTTTAATTAAAAATATTCTGAGTTAGTCGCAGGCCTAATTACAGGAATAGAAATAGGGCCTATATTGTCATGCAGGTCAGTAGGACTCAGTAGTAGGTTTTTCTCAAGTAAATTGACCGATCGGAATAATAGCGCAGCTGCTAAACTGCCAGCCTTGACGTGTAAATCAATTTAAATGCAACAACTGCAGTAGCTACTTTGATAGTTATTAAATTGATACCTTGGAGATAGATTAATGAATAATTTCTTTTTTAAAAAATTGTCTTCTTTTTTTTTAAAAAAAAGCCCTACATCTTTGTATAAAGTAGATTTCATTGAAAAAAATTAAGATGCCCTCTGATTCATTTGTTCTAAACAAACGGTTAATTATTTGTTGGTCAGAGCAAAACAGTCCGCTAATTTGCATTGCTGAATATTAGCAGGATAAATATTACATAACTTTGCCACCTCTGTCGGTTGTTATGTGCAATATAAAAACAGAAACAATATGTATTTATTAGGGTCTAGTTTAAGCCATCACTATAAAAGATTAAAAGTGTTTAAGCCATGCCTATAATGATAGGAGTATGTCTGTTTTTCCTCTCCAAAAAGGGAAAAGGGGGGGGGGTCTCAAATGTCCTAGAAAAATTGTTTTAGTGTGAGCAACAAAAAGAAGAAGAAAACTAGCTATTTCAATACCATGGGGTTTTTCAGAATGTATCAGTAATTTGAAATGTGAACATAAGCAAGAAGTAAAAATGGTGAACAAAGAATAAAATTTTAAAATACTTAATATATATTGTGCTTGCATGAAACAGAGTGTGCTTGCATGAAATAGATTTTCCCCCCTTTAAAACTATTGAAACTAAAACCGAAAACATCTCCAAACAGTGAGTGAATGGGGGGGGGGAGAGACATTAAAGGTTATGGACTAATAAGGGGGTGAAATACTAAATATTTATCTTCTGGAACTATCGTAGACCTTGATAATCCACACTTAAATTTACAATATATTAAAAATCTGTTCTATATGCGTCCAGATCTGACACATGAAAATTTCATGCACTAAACACACTCTGTATTTACCAGGCTACGTCTGCTATTCTGAACAAAAGTCTCCAAGGATTTAGTTCCAGAATCAATGCTCTATTGATTTTACTATCAATGAACATTATGGCTCACACGACTGGCCATTTTAAGGGAAGATAGCTTCTATTATAACCCACTTTTTAGAATATATACTGTCAAAAAATAAATCACTCCTTTCTATGGTAATTGAGCACTGTATTTAAAAATTAAGACGTCTGTTTAATTTTTAGGACCGTATATGAACAATGATCCTTAAGTTACTCAGAATCCTCTGATAATTTTAAATCTTGTTTTTCACATTTAGCAAATTAGTTAATTAGGAAGCATACAGATGATTCATTAAAGTACTTATTTGCAGAAATCAATTTATCACCTACGATGGACTTTCAGAGGCATGCATAAGAATTAAGCAAATAAGGAAATCACAAAGCAGTCTGCCTTTATGTCCTCTTTGCATCTTATTCATGCTCTGATTTAGCACACTTCCAAAATATGGGCAACATAGAGCTAGGTCTATAATGCACACACGTCAATCAGATAACTATTATTGTGAAATGTATATTAAGTAAAACCTGAGATCACTGTGTTTGTTATTATTGTTAAAGCTAGCCAAAAATAAGTTCTCATATTCAAAACAGAAATTTGGTATTAAAACCACAGACCAAAACTAGTTGCTTATTCCACAGCACAACTGTAGCTTCAAGTAAACTGTAAAGATGAAATTGTAAGAGGACAAAGAAATATATTTCGCCCACCCATATTCAGCTTTATGCAGCATGCTGCAATGCCACTATAGTCTAGCTAGCTTAACACAATGCTTCAGAATTCCCAACTTTTATGGGCTTGTTTCAAACATATATCTTTAGAGTCTTCAATTATTTAAAATCTCAAAATTCTGAATCTATGCACATTTAAATGGAACTTTCTGCAAAATCAATGGAACTCACTCCCATTTAATATCTGCAGAGAAATTAGGTTTTAAAATCTAAGCTCAAAGGGGGAGAAAACACTCCCTTTCATCCTGCTGTTGTTGCCAAAAAATAATAATAATGTAAATGTACTCGCTTCATATACTTTCCATATGGTACATGTAGAAACCTCTTCATTATGAAAAAGGTGCTATAGGATTCAACCTTGGTGTTAGAACACTTATTTTGATGCCCAACTACTGGTTCCAGTAATCTATCCACAAGCATTTAAAAACGCTTTTCTAAATTAGAAAAGCTGTATGATTTTAAAACTGATAAGTTGTTGATCTGTCATTAGGGTTGCTTTTTTAAAAACAAAACCACCACCAGCCTGTTCAGATTATATTTTATATCATCTAATGGAAGAAAAGAATCTGTTGGAAATGAAACCATTTTCAACTACATATTAAAGACAAGCAACAACATATTTACTCTGTAATATTACAGTAAATGCAGCTGGATTAAGAGTAGCTCCCAATATCAAACTACATATATTGTTTCATCTCCTGCTCATTTGCCTACTCAGCATAGCAAAGCGCAGGATATTAAATCTTAAGAAGAGCCCAGTGGGTCCTGCTACAAACAGCATCCTCAAACTGCTGTTTAGCCTCCCCCAAGTTCAAAAAGCAGGTTGAAGGTTTGACACAAGAGGAGCTGAAAAGAAAACTCAAACAAAAATTCGGCCCTCACTCCAGCCTCTTTATACTTCTTTCACATCACATACTCAAATCGCTTCTGAGCTGGGGGGAGGCTGGACAGCTGTTTGGAGGTACTGTGTGGGCAGCTTCAGAACAACAAACCCTTCCCAAAAGAAAATTCTGGTGTATGCACAAAACATGCTGATTTTAATCACCGCCTTGACGTTCAGTATGAGACTTTTAAAAAAGAAGAGCAAATTTGAAACGTTTTTTACTGCTGTGTAGATGGAGTTAGGTTGAGCTGCTACATACTGAGAAAATTGCTTTGACAACCTGCTAAGGAAGGCTGAGAAACTTGAGTGCTTGGAGGAGATGATGGTCCATTGAGCATCTGCCCACAGTTAAACAAAGTCAGGGACCACCAAACCTGGAGCACATGAATCTGAAGGAAGAACCAAGGGAAACTAATTTATTATTTTGTAATTAGTTGGTAAGCACATGGTTTAAGGAAGGGGGGAAAGCCCACCTAAAATAACTGTTAATCAAGAGGCAACAAGAATTTTAATGCAAGAGAAATAGCCTTTATATTTGTTATTAGTGCAGTTTTTGCAACTGAATCTGTAATCCAAGCGGCCAAGAATTCCCAAAGGCAGAGTCCTAGAAAGAGATGTCTCAAAGCAGAGTTTGTTGGGCTTAAAAAAAATTTTTTTTAAGGGAATACTTGCTGTCAGGGAACATTCAGGGATCATCACGAGCCATTTTTAGGCATTTAGCTGAATAACCATAAAAAATCATTGTTTACAGCAACTCGTTTTACACATGGCGATGAAGGCTTGCACCAATTCAATTAAACACGTTTCTGAGATAATTTCATTACATGATTTCCAATATACACATTATGTGAAATCCCTAAATAATTTAATTTCATGGCAGTGGTCAGTGTGGTTGTGGAAGTACATAGATGTACTGGGGAGATGTAAAAATAAACCCATACAAAAACACAGGTTATTTAGTATTAAAGCCATGAACATGCAAAATAAACACTATCAAAAAAATTAAGTGTGTGTGAGTGTGAGTGTAGAGGGGTGCATTTAAACTAGTTCATACCTTTTGCAACCATTTGACACCAGACATTGACCCCCTATTGTTAAACTTCCTAAACTTCCTTGATCTATGACTCCAAGCTGAAAGACTGCAGTGGGAGGCAGGGTAAAAACCATACACAGAATCTCCAAAACTCCTCTGAACACTGTTCCATGGCTCTTTCAACACAGAGGATTATCTGAAAGTAGATAATCTCTACTATGAGACCTGGACTCATGCCAAGGTTTCCACAAAGCCAAGAACCTCCTGGAGAACTTTCAGCATCACTACTCAGAGAATTGAAAACCTAGAGATATTTTAAACAGAACTCATTTGCTGGCAGCAAGCCCTTCTTTTCTTTGGCCAAAATATCTGGGTCACTAACAGTAAAGTGAGCATCCTAATAAACCACAAGTCCAAAGTAAAATACAACAGTCCTCTGGAAAGCAACCCAAGCACAAGCAATTGCCTGGTAAAATTATGTTCTCACAGGTACATGAATACTTATGTTTTGTACTTAAGAAAAAAAGCGTCTGAATAATATGCAATAACTAAAAGCCTTTTCAAATATTCCTATTTTTGTCGTATCGTTTAGGTTTTTTAAAGGGGTGTGTGTGTGTGTGTGTGTGTGTGTGTGTGATATATATATAGAGAGAGAGAGAGAGAGTGTGTGTGTATTAAAGTCAGCACATGCTACAGTAGCCATGGAGAAAATAACCCAAGTCCACAACTTTTGGTGAGATCCTGAAAAATGGAAGATGGCTTTTCAGACTGAAAGGATTTGAGCAAAGCAGCAATACCCACAATCAGATTGCACTGGCCACAGTGAAAATCCACAGGTCTTACTCTATAGTTGGAGAATCTGAGTATCAGCTTAACAATTAAGAGGGAATGAACTACTGCACTAAGCATGTGTTAGCAGTCTAAAAACTCATATTTATATTACAAATTATAAAGTTATCACCTGGTTCTTTTATCAACATAGGCTAGAACCTAGCACATATGAGAGAGCCTATAAAATTCTGGCTAACCTGGCTCAGTTTAGATGGAAAAAAACCTCTGCTTTGAAATATATACAAAATAAACTCACCTATGCCTTCTCTCTTCATCCTTTAAAACCTCATATATGGCCACCAACTAGAATGAAAGCATACTTTTATTTTTCTAAAAACAGCAACACACCAGCAACCGTGCACAGAACAGCCAGAATATTTTGCCACAATACTGCACATATACTGGGCTTTTTTGTACTCTTAAAAGTAAGAATGAAGAACAGTTCCTAGAATCAAAGAATCAGTTCAGGTCATTCTGTGTAAACTAAATATTTTTCCCTTTTTTCAGTAATTTTCTGTTCAAGATAGTAGCAATTTAATTATTCTGTGATACAAACAAATCATCACCATCATCCAACTTTCAAAGCATGCTCTACTGTTCCAGTAGTATTCATTATAAATTCCAAGTAAACAACTGTTGAAAAACCATATATTAGGCCTTCTTTGAAAAAGACACCCACAGAGTAAAGCTTAATTTTATACACATTAACATGTTTGATGAAATATTTTTCCATTGCAATGCAAAACATGCAGATTGTGGCACTATAGTAAAACAACAACAACAGAGTCAAGGAGTCCACAAAGTCCTGTTCCCAACCCTAAGCATTCCCATTATCTAAGTATGTTTAACTTCTGACAGCACATGGTGGGGTTTTTTTACCCATTTTAAATTTCTGTAGGAGTTGAAAGCATTAGACCATAGTAAAGTGGCAACAAAAGCTTCCAAACTTCCCCAGGTTAATCATTTCAAAAAAATAATACCCCACGATCACCATTATATTTATTCAAGGTTTTAATGATCACATGACACATTTTAATGCTTGTATGTGCATCACTTACTTGTCTAAACTGGGTTTCCGCATTTTCATCTTTATTCTTATCTGGGTGCAATATTAGCGAAAGCTTGCGATACGCTTTCCTAATGTCTGCCGATGAAGCATCCTGAAAAACACAAAGCAAACTTTGTCAGAAATGAATTCCCAGAACCTTGTTAAGATCTGAGAAGACAGCCAACCAAGTGCAGGGACCTGAGGCAATGTAATTTGAGCAATCATTCTTCAGCCGGGATATGCAGCGAGCCAGGCCCACATGACTGAACAATCAGTCAATCTAATTTTGCTCTCCTCTTAACTTCTTTCACTGCCATGTGCTCATTACAAGAAGATAGTATTTGCCAGAAACTTTCAAACACTTGCTTCCTTAAAATTAGTCAATAAATCTTCAGCGGTAATTAACAGATCAAAAGGACAAATTAAAATTAATACATCTGCGTATCTTCTAAAATATTCCCTTTTTCTTCAGCTATTATGCTCATTTTTACAAGTTGCAAGGCCTCAGCTAATGTGGTGCCCTTAATATTAAAATTGCATCTCTATTAATTTCTTGCAGAATTCAAGCAACCTTTGTTTCTGCTTGTCTGCGTAAGAGGGCTTTCACTCACAGCAGCGTCGGCTTGCATTTCATGAGAAGGAAACTGCAGAAGTGCAACGAAACAATAGCACTGCCCTCATCTCAGTTCACTTTCATTATTATTATTTTAAAAATGAAGCTTGGGTGTTTTGAATTAATTGCACAGATGCGTAAGTAAATTCGGTTTCTAAGAAAACCCAGCAGAAAAAAGATGTTACAGTTAATCCCTACCTCTTCTCTAGAGGAACAAAGCTGTGTCTAAATTACAAAGTATCATTACATATACCCTGAAAACAACTAGTTTAATGGCCAACATGTCAAAGGCAACGTATGCTGAGCGTTTACATAACCACCACAATAGTCTAGCCTCAAACAAACGTATCCTAACGACCCCTAAGAAACTGCTTGGTATAAAGTGAAAGTCTTGTCAAGTGAACTAAGCATGAGGATTTGGTTTCAGAGAGATATTTCATCTCGGATTAAAGTAATAAAGCGGGATATATACCGGTATCGCATCCTCTCCCATACATCATTCTCTAGAACTACATCTGCACAAACTATTGTAGTGGGTCAAATCTGGAAGAGGTTCTAAAACTATAAGAAGTCAAAAATAAGACAATTAAAGCAGCACTGTAATTAGCCTGTCAAACCTTCAGCACAAAGCACTGTTTTCATTACAGATTTACAGCACAAGCCTAATTCAGCACAAAACATTTCAGGCCAGAAGGGGATAATCGGGTGGAGCGTGCTGCATGTGTGAGGAATCATCTCTGTGTTTCTACATGCATGCTACATGTACTGTGAGAACACAGAGGCTTTGAAACAGAGGCATGGAACTCACCCATGACTGTCTCCATGCAGGCCTCATGCTTTTTCCTACACCAAAGGGCTTTTTGTGTAGAAAAAGCATGATATTTGAAGTGGTCTTTTCACTGCTTTGAGTAATGGGGAGGGGATGCAGGCAGGAAAAGACTATTAACTATACAAGATTCAGGATATCATCATCAAGGCAAAATCTTTGCATTTTCACAGGCAAGATATGAGCACCTGCTGAAATCACCAATCTATTTTGCAGCTGTAAACCACAACACACTTACTGAGGAGTATCCTTTTTTAAACACAGTGGAATTTCACCCTGATAAAACATGCATCAGATTTCATCAAGAAACTGATAAAAAAAACAACAACAACAGAATTTAGGAAAATAGGTTATATTAACATCCTTTCTGATTAGTCTAATACACCCTGTTTGTGCAAAAGAGTGTGGCCTTTTTTCTTATTGTGGTATTGAAATTGTATCACCTAAAGAAAATTAAAGTTAAGACGTTGTGCATCTTTTCACTCAAGAGTCTACTCCTCAGATCCACCAAAGGAGAAAACGATGCAAAATTAGTTCACTCTGGAGACACAATTATGAATGCAAGTATGTAGGGGAAAGTGGCTTTATTTATACACAGAAACTCAACATGCTATATATGTAAATTAAGTAATTTGGGGGCTAGAAATCTGCACCTCCACCTCCAGCTTCAGCAAGATGTCTCACTAACACAATTTCATTATGTTTGGACATGGCTGTGAGGAGTTGAGTTAGCCAATGCAATATTGACCATGACTTTGCAGTCAATTAGACTAGGACAAATTGTGTTCAGCATCTGTCACTTAATTGTGATTAAACCCTAAGGGGTGGGGGAGGATGTAGAAGGAGGGAGAAGGCAGCGAGGGTGAAGATTCATGTTTAGCATGGTGCCTTGTTTAGGCAACAGTTATTTGTCTACACCAGCCTCAAAGTTAGGTCAATGCTGTAATAGCTAATTGGTTTCTACAGTAAGAATATTGTTGTGTTGCTACCTATTATTTGTTAATAAATAATTATCATATTTATTAAATTATATTATTGCACTCTAGACAAATATAAACTGCTTCCATATAACCCCAGACCTTGGAGAGGTTTCCACTAATCTAGCTTTTTATTCCCCCCACCCAATAATTTTTATTAAGTTTCCATTTGCCAAATTAAACATATCATACCAATTAGTCCAAATTATATCAATATAGCTTTTTAGAGTATGTACAATGCCAAATTGAAACTTAGAGTCATTCCAGTAACCACAAAAGATGGATTTTGGCTCTAGATTTTGATTATTATTGGGGGGGGGGGTTTAAACAACAACACCACCACACTAAATTTCATTTATGGCTTTCAGTAAATAATGGTAAAAACAAAAAAACCTAGAATCTCTCTTCCAGAGGAACTTTCTTTCCAGTATGCATGGACATGACTGTATGCTAAATGCTCAAAGAAAACTGTTCTTATTCAATCTACAGGCATCCTGGAGCTAATCCAGAACTGATAGCAAGAAATGCCTTTCCTCTAAGAAGCTGCTTCTCCCTGTGGACTGTAAGCACAGAAGTTCAGCAGTCCCCTGGGCATAATGTACAAGGCAAGCTTGATGGTGACTGCTTGATCCAAAGCGTACAGAAGGGCAGCATTCTAATCAACTCTGATATGGTTTGGTGTTACGTCTAAGGACTATTTCTCACTAAGGGTAAATCTGTCTGGGCCCTACCACTTCAGACTGCAGGTGAGGACTCCTGTGATTGAATGCGCCATAAAAAAGCAATATGTCATCTTTGCGGAATAGGCAAGTAGATGTGAATGAGAGGGCTGAGAGTGAGCATTCTCTCTCTCCCACCCCCCACCCCTGCCCCCAATATCAAGTTTTCTATCTGGGAGGGGGCAGGGTATGTAGGTTCATTCAATCAAGTGAGCCCCTAACCTGCAGCTTCAAGTGGCATAGCCCAAGCACAGATTTACCACATCAGTGAGAACTAGGCTGATATCTTCAGCATCACCATCACTTCCATAAAGCAGCCTATTGCCAAGGCACAGAGGGGACTGCTACACATTTCAGCCTAAGCTGGCAATGGGATTTTCACAAGTACCTTTGTTATTTACTTTCAGGTTTGTAATCAACATACTTACTGCTGATTCTCCATCCTTCCTCTCCTCCCCACCCTTGTAAACGGCATCCCTTCCAAGTGGCCAAGCATTCATCACGTTGCTGATTAAAGTGCATGCTGCTACACAAAGCCAGACTTTGTTGTAAAATAGGTTTCTGTTAACTGTGAGCATCGATCATGCCTGCATTTCATGTTATCGATCTGTTTTAATCATAGCAGACTAATTTCATTTACTAGTTTTACATAAAAAATAAATATTTTTTTTGGGGGGGGGAGGGAATATTCCATGTTCCATTTGTAATGCTGTCATTCATTTTCCTGCTTTAAAAACAAAACAAAACAAAACAAACAACCCAAACACTTTCTCACCACTACGACTAATTTAAAATCACTTCTACACATTGCAGTGGTTAACATCCAAATGTTTTTGGTAATAAATTGGACTTCGGCTGCAACAAAATGTTAAGTGGGATTGGGGGTGGGGATTAATGCAGGGGAGTATGCTCAACTCTTCCCCACCTATACTCTCCGGCCAATGCCTCCCTGAGCCAATTTTAATCTGTCCTCCTTCCTGGCCAAAAACTGGGGTGGGGTGGGGTCAAGGTGGGATGGTTGCCTACAGATAGAGCAGCCTTGCTATTTACCATCCATCTGCTTCCTGGAAAGCCAATTGCTACTTGCCACAGAGGAGTTCCATAACTGAACTGCTGTACGGGAATATCTGCCATTCCACTTCTCTGAGTCTCCTTCCACTCAGGTTTCGGAAGGGACATCTTTTCTCACAGCAGCTACACTATATGTCAACATCAACTGTTGCTCTTCAGAAATGTTATGGACATTCTTCCACATCACAGCAGGCTATACAATGAGTTACTCATCCTTCACCCCAGGATTCCAGGACAGGCTGCAATAATTATAACACAATATAAGAAACCATTTAAAATAATCATATAGCTATATATTTGGTACACACACAGCTACAAGGTTTTCACTGTTAACCTCCAATTACAGTGAACTGAAGATGGGTTTGGCAAAAGCAAAGGACCACAAGAAACGACCCCCCCACCTTGACCTTATGTACAGTCTTGTAGATTTCTCTGTGCTTGACCTTCTTGCCAGTAAGGTCATGAGGAACCAGAAAGTTCACAGACTGACTCACCAAGGACCTAGGTTGCAATAATAGTAATAAGATAAAATGCCTGGTAAACAAAAGGTCATCAGATGCAGGTTTTGCATCTAAAAGCAGCTGCATCCACAGCTCCAGGAGATACAAGCTTCCTCCATCAACACTACACACCAGACAGAACAACAGTGTCTGCAGTATGACTCCCAGGAAGCCACTCACCATAGTCAATGTTCTTGATAGCTAAATCCATTCAAGAGCACCAGCCAGATGAGTCCTCCTTGTTCCTTTACATGGCCCAATCCACCCCTTACCAGAACATTCCCTATTACATTACAGGGGTCTTTTCTCTCTTGAAGCTGCTCCCCTATGCCCAAGTACACCTATTTGAATTTTGCCTAATCCCCTTTCATTCCCTCACTTTAACAACCTCATAATGCTGCCTTGTTTTTGGATCCCCTACAAGCCAGATTTTAGTCATTGTCATGTCTACTCTCTTAGCAATCTCTCTGCGTACCCCAGGAAGCAAACCACTGAACTCATACCTAAGTCTTACCTATACCTGTGATCTTGTTTTACTTCAGGCACAGATGTCCTCTGAGCTCAACATCTGGGTCCCAGGTCTTCTACAGCCTAAACACACATTGTTTTCAGGAGTCCTTTAGCCAGCACCAAGTTGTACGTTTCACAACTCAGCGTTATTTCTCCCCTTTTAGTTCAGAACTCTGATTTCTCTGAATTGGGTGTGTTAGAATGTGGCATGTGTCTATCAGTCCTCATTTTAACACAATACACACAATAATTGAACATGGCTTGCATTTTGGAAACACATATTTAAAGAAAAATGAGCAAGACATACATTGTAAGAATACTAAGTAATTAATTTCTGGAAACTTTATTACATCAAACCCACAGCACAAATCTATTGACTGAATGTGTTTCTAGGTTTCGTCCAAGCAGATAATACATTCACCAGATACGAAGCATGGGGTCCTCTGTACCCAAGAACACTTGTACATCTCTCCATGCTTCTGGGCTCACAAAGCCTCCAAGTCTGATGAAAGAAAACACAGAAGCCGGTTCTCTCTCTCTCTCTTTTTTTTTTAAAAAAGTATCTAGGAGGCTTCTCCACTCAAGCAGAATTTCCCAAATAACTGAGAGATGAAGATAAATGGCTTCCCAAGAGGCATGTGCGAAAAAAGAACTACTCTCTCCCAACTAGCCATTTTAACTCAAACCTGTTTCTTTGACAACATCCAAGGATAGCCAACGAGAATGTGGGCACAGCAACTATGCAATGCAAATACTAGAACCACTGCCCCAGTTCAGAACTGCACTGGAGAAGAGCACTAAAATATCATGGTGGAGGAGCATTCCTCACAGGGTTTTGCATCATCTGGTTATAATCCTTACAGGTGAAGCATTGCGAACACATAACTTCCTTAATAATGGCAATATTCTATATAGAGATTTTTCAAGTGTTCGCAATGCTTCACCTGTAAGGATTATAACCAGATGATGCAAAACCCTGTGAGGAATGTCAGTGTTTTCATCATATCACAGATGGGTGACTGAGAATGGACTGAAGCCTGAGGGGAAGTTTGGCTTACCTAAGAAGATATGGCAAGTTAATGGCAGAGATGAGATTCAAACCAAAGACTTCCTGACTTGTAGCTCAGTCCCCTAGCCTCTAGTAGCATTCACACAAACACCCAAGCTCCTTTCATTAAACTTAAAAAACAAAAAAATACCCCAGTGAACATAGTAGCTATAGTTCAGCAGAGTTCATCTACAAGATAGAGAAGAGAAAGTGGCTATGCAAGCCAGGAGAATGACTGTTTTGTTCCCTTTCATAAAAACACCCACCCACCTAGGTCCTTCATCACAAATCGTACCAGTAGCTCCCTTTATTTCCACACAGATTTCTCAAATTACGGAGTTAGGTGGTTCAAAGTAGTGTCAGATTTCTAAAAAAAGAAGAAGTTACCAACACTTCTGTACACTCCATGCTTTCATCTGATGGGTGATTTATTTGGTACCTTAGCAGGCTGATTCTCTCCCACACTGCAGAGGTAACATGTAAATTTCCACCCACATTTTGGCCATATTATACTGGCTGTAGTTATGGCAGCAAATACCAACACCAGTGTAGCCATATAGTACAGCAACATTTTTATTAGGCCAACTGTGGGTATAGTCACTTATTTCTTGTCAGGTCTAAGTGCCGTTTCCTAAGTCAGTGACAGATAGGAAAATCTATTTTTTCCAGGAAAGCTTTTCCAGCCAATTATTGGCAAGGCTGTTAAAGTCTGGCTCTGATAATTGCTGCTTGATCTTTTGCTGCTCCACTTGTTTTCCTGCTGTTGATTTTATTTTTATGTACTCTTTTAATCAGTTTTCCAATCCGTACATGACTTTGAATTATTTTTTAACAAAACAGAAAACCAGTCTATATGTTTCAGCTTTCTATACTTGCACAACCAGTTCTGTTACACATTACACACACACACACACACACACACACACCCCGAAGTTAGTGCTACCTATTCCACCACTAAATTTAGCACCACCAAGTATTTCATGGTCATAAATCTCTGAACAGTTTTGATTTAGGGTGACAATTTATACAGCATCAGCTAAGCAAGTAGTATTGTGATCTTCTTTCACAGAGTTGTTACACATGGGCTGAAATAGCCTGCAGGGCAACCCAGGAAACAGCCAAAAGCCCACTATAAATTAAAATTAGTTACATGCTCTTCTTAAAGAATGCAACTTTTCCAGAAAGAGCATTGGAATAAAATTGACTAGTGCAAGACAGGTGCAGAAAGCAAGAGAAGAGGCACTCCACTTTATGACTGGAATTCATATTCTGATACAGCATTTTACTTACAATTCTGAGTTTAAATTGCACTGATTGCTTCAGTGTTTTGCACCAGTCTAAAACATTATGTCATTCTTGGAGTAATAGCTACCATAGTCTCATCTTTGGGTTTTGTTGTTATGTTATGCATTTTGTGTTTCCATTTTGCATTTTTATGTTGTAAACTGCCCTGTGATCTTTCATAAAAGTAATAAATAAATAAAATCTTCTGGACGATGCAATTCCCTTGTTGGCACGGACCAACATCCATGGAGACTCGCAAAGCCAATGGAACTCAATAATTCTCTGAGTATTATTTCTTGTTGCCAAAAACTGTAACAATCATTCTTGCCTTACTATCAGGATGCAAAGTTGACTACTGCTGCAATAGAGCAGCCTTCCCCAACCTAGTGCCTGTCAGTTGTTTGAGACTACAATTCCCATAATCTCTGACCACCAGCCATCCTGCCTTGGTCTGGTAGGAGCTATGGCACAAAACATCCTGAGGGAACCGCGGTGGGGAAGACTGCAGAAAGGCTCTCAAATATCACACAAGGCCAATGCTTGGGGGCTTCTGTATGCTAACACACTCTTCCACATTACCTAATATCACTGACCTAACAAGCGTTCCCAAATATTTTGCTGTTTGAGGGGTGTAGCTCAGGAGGGTGTTTGGCTTGGGGAGTGTCATGAGGCCAGATAAACCCTCCTTGATTGTTTTCCTCTGTGCCATTGAACTCCAATAACACTTCTTGTTTGCTTGATGTGAGGAAATTCATCTACTGTAGAAAGGTAAAACCCACATTTAAAAAATGCAAAAGGAGTTAACATTTTCCTAAAGCATTAAGCAAATTTTCCCTTGCAGTCACCAACTTTTATTCACCCAATGCCTTTTAGTACAGTACTCAAGGATGTAGAGCTGAAAGTTTTCCAGTGCTTTATTTTTCCACAAAAACTTTCAATATCATATGTTCGTTAGTAACAATGAATGGATGTCAAATGGAATTAGGCATGCTTTGCAGTTTCAAAGCTTTTAGTACAACAAACATGTTAAACTAGATCGTTCTCTAGGGTATCAGATAAAAGTTCCCATTAATACTCCTAATATTTCCCTAAAATTACCCTAATTCATATAGGAAACATTTCCCCAAAACCCATGTCACTGACAGTTCCTAAACTGACGAATCCTTTCATTGCCTTCCCTCACAAAATAATTCAGGGAGGAAAAACCATCAATTAAATAGATAGCTATCTAATGACACACTCTGATGATTTTTTAGCTGTGAAGAATGGCTCTAAAACAGATTTTGTGCATTGGAGACACATAGTTTTGAGTTTAGAACAGTCATATATTGAGGGAATACCTTCCCCCATATGTATCTTTCCACGCCAGGATCTAGCACAGATCACCTTTTGATGGAACAGGAGTGGGAAACCTCGGGTCCTCCATTCTGGCTCCCAAGGCCAAGTCTCTAGTCACAAGCCTTCATGAGTCCTGCCCCTCCCTTTGCTAGGTTGAAATGCATCACTGAACTGGGATGACACCTTTCTTTCTTTCTTTCTTTCTTTCTTTCTTTCTTTCTTTCTTCCATGGCTAGATGTAGGATGGAGAGAGGGGGAGGGGAACAGAAACCTCTGACGTTTGAGAGGTTGGAATATAACCTACTGTACAAAAGTCTATTCTCACCCTGTGATAATAGGTGGAAACTGCCAGGTTGACAGCCACCAAAGAAAGGGCTCTTTCGGTGGTGGCCCCCAAGTTACAGAAGAAGAAAAGAAAAGCAGTGAGCCTCAAAGTAATACAGGGGGAGGGAGCAGAACTTTTACAAAGTAGTAAAGTGCCCCTGGATTTTCCATGGAAATGATCGTCAGAGCCACAATAATTCAATTTACTGAGTATTTCCAGAAATGCAGCAAGTGGTTTGGACATTTAACCACTTGAATCTACCTACCTTGCTCTTAACTGTCTCCCTCATCACCCCCCCCCCAAATCCCATGACCTGGTGAGGCTTTAGAGACCGGCTTATTTAGACAAGCTTTTTATTGGTCAACATATCTACTTGGTTTTATTAGCTGTTGCATGTACCCTTCCTGCTTATTATATCCTTCAGTTAGTTTTATCTTTGCTCTGCGCCTTAGGAGTTTATATTGAAAGGCAGACTAACTACACAGCTTCTAGGTGAACGAACAGCTTTTATCATTACAACACGCATCCAAATACACGAAGAAGAGAAATAAAGTTTGATACAAGTTTTAAAAGCAGACTAGGTAGCATTCCCCTGAAGGAGGCTTGGCAAGCTCTCTTCCCCCCTTTTGGAAGTGCTGAAGCTCCATCTAGAGGCTTTTGCTCCACTACTGTCACTTGCAAAATTGCCTGGAAATGGGAATAATATCAAAGTGTCAGAAACTTCCTTTGTACCTCCCATTTTGTTATTCATAATAGCATCCTGCCCTGAACCTTTCCTGGCAACATTAGCTCCTTCACTGCCATCAAGTGGTAAGAAGCCAAAACTGAAGGGTTTTTTTGTTTTGTTTTTTAAAATGACATCTCCTTTAAAGTGTCAGGGCAGGTTGGTCAGGCTAATACAGATGTATAAGGACACTGTTTAGAGATGAATTAGAACTACTTGTTTCCAGTTCTTAAATAACGTATTAAAACATACGAGCTGTGTCCCATCAGGAAACACACACAGGCCACAAACAGAAGCGTTATCCATGAAATGACACATTATGTTAAGAAATATAACGACACAAGTTATATCTCTCAGCTACAAGTAACATTATTGCTAAACAAAATATATATTATTATATATATATATATATATATATATATATATATATATATATATATTATTCAATATATATTTTTAAAAAATCTTAAGGTAGCTAGAAATGTGCGGTCCTGTGAACTACACAAACACGTTTATCCTTCTTCGAAGGACGGTCCTGTGTCATTTTAGTTAACTATGCTCTCCCACCTGACATATCCTTTTCACAGACATTTGGGATTATGCTCCTGCTTCGTTTCCTTTCCCCACCTACCCTTTAGAGTCAGTATGATTTCAGCTCAAAGGCACTTCTTTCCTGCCCAACCAGAGAAGCAAAATTGAGACTGGCAGGTAGGAAGTTTAAATGCAAACCCTCCAAGAAAACTCTTGTTTTAAATCCCAGCTGTTCCACTTGCATGGCCAGCTAGACAGGTAAAGCTGCATGGATTAAATGGCGGTGTTTGCTGGAAGGGTTTGGATTTGTCAGGCACTAGGGAACAACATATTGGGATAAGCTGGCCCTGTACTGGAATGGGCTTCACTGGAAACCAAAGATGGAAACAGACAGATGGTGCTTATAATATTAAAAATATTGCAGAGCATATTTTAAACTGACTTCTGGGGAATGGGGAGAGCCGAAAACAGCAATGAAGCATCCTATTGGGGATAGAGATGTCTAGGTGAATAAGTTTCCAATCATCCAAATGGGGTCCATGTATAAACAAAAGGAGCAAGTCTACAGTAAGACAGATCACTACTTTAATGCAGATGTTTCTTCTTTGGCTACCTATCCCAAGATAGCCAACATGGTGCCCTCCATATGCTGTTGGACTACTATTCCCATCAACCAGTCCATGATCAGGTAGGATGGGAGCTGTAGTCCAATAACAGGAGGGCATCATGTTGGCTACCCCAATCTACACATATCCCTTTTCAAATGTTCTGTAAAGGTAAAGGGACCCCTGACCATTAGGTCCAGTCGTGACCGACTCTGGGGTTGCAGCGCTCATCTCGCTTTATTGGCCGAGGGAGCCGGCGTACAGCTTCCAGGTCATGTGGCCAGCATGGCTAAGCCACTTCTGGCGAACCAGAGCAGTGCACGGAAACGCCGTTTATCTTCCCGCCGGAGCGGTACCTATTTATCTATTTGCACTTTCATGTTCTTTTGAACTGCTAGGTTGGCAGGAGCAGGGACCGAGCAACGGGAGCTCACCCCATCGCAGGGATTCGAACCGCCGACCTTCTGATTGGCAAGTCCTAGGCTCTGTGGTTTAACCCACAGTGCCACCCGCGTCAAATGTTCTAAACTGTATTTTAAATATTGGCAATTCTTGGGGGCCAAATTTAATCCAAAAGTCTACAAAGGCAAAAGTACACTGCAGCTTAGTAATGTGAACCCCCCCCCAAAAAAAAAACAAATTAGGGATCCATTGTGTCAACAGCCAGAAAGAAAAATCTCATCAATGCTACTCAGGTAAGTGGAATACTGAATTGGAAATCATCCAGTCTGCTGGAAATAGTAGTTTTGATAACACAACAGCTAGAGAAAGAAAGTTGCCTGTGCCACTTAAGATCAGGGCTTCAACAGTTAAATGGATAGGAACAAAATGCCAAGTTTACCCTGGTGGAAATTTTGGAATAGCAGAATTCACTAAGGACATATCCAGTAGCTGACTTAGGTGTGCATGCCCAGAACCCTCTTAGAAATGCAGCAATTGGGTTCATCAGCCGTTCTGAAGAAATGAGGAAGTAAATCCACTCCCTCCCTCTCCCAACTGGGGCAGATACTAGTCCATTTCTCACCTTGTTTCTTAGCAATAGTCTTCTGGAGCAACAGAATTACAAGTTTGAAATTACCCTTCAAATTGACAAATATAGTATCCATTCATGATAGACTTTATTTTTTATTAAAAATGCATTTTGATAAATGGAAAAAGTTTCCATGGGGAGAATATATAAAGGAATTCATTTTACCCCATATCACTGATCTCCACTTTATATCCTAATGGCCAGTTAAAACAAAGATAATCCAAGACGCCATAAAAAGGTGGAAAAATACAGGAAATATAAACTTCTCCCTATGCTAATAATTAGTACAGCGCAACTTTCAGACTAAAGGTGACCCAGGAAAAATTGCCAACAAAAGCAAGCCTCATTCCCGAGTTGCCACCCTGGCTGTGACTTCGCAGTTTAGAGCCTGCTTCATGCCCACAGGATAGGGGAGGCATAATCACACAAGGGTGGAATTAATCATGCAGGCAGTTACTAGGCAACCACTCACATGTGCACTATTGCTTTCCATCATAACCCCAAAGCAGTAGTTCTTTCACACAGCTAATTGGAGGAATTCACAGGCATTGGATGCTACAAATCCCACCAAAGACTATTAAACATATATAGAATATATAGAACCAGCAATGTTGTGGTTAGCAAAAGCAGGTGTGTGTTTGGTTTTGCAACCAGTGGACAGACATGCAGTGCAAGAATAATGATGCGCACAAGTCTACATATTTCTCTATCAAGCTAGAAAGCCAATAAAGCTTTGCATTACCGAGAACAAAGCAAAGCTTGCATCAGTTGCAGTAGCAGCTAGCAGAACAAGGCACTGGAATAGCCATGGGTAAAGAGGGCACACTAGGTCAGAAGATTACACCTAGGCTGCGACCCTGACATGTAGGGCATAATTCAGAAAGATGCAGGGAGGATTTGGAAAGAATGGAAGTCATGCTTACCTTGAACTGACAGCAAGCCAGCATTAGTGCTTTAAGAAAGATATGACAAATCTCCCTGGATTTGTCATATCTTTCTCAGAGAGAGAACACACGTTGAGTCGTCAGGAGCAGACAAGGCAACTGATTCTGTGTATGCTGTCATTGGACAAGGATAAGTTGAATGTGCAGCTGTTAACCTACTCAGGTCTACAAAGCTGCCTGATAAAACTGAGATCAGGCAAAACTATCCACCACCACCCCCTTCCCACCTAGAGCGAAATCTGCACTACAAGGCCAAACACTGGCAAGATCACTAGCAGATCTAAGGGAAACAAGAAAAGATCTTGGCAGACAAAATGTTAGAATCAAATGAAATCAGTAGCATGCTTACAGGAGTACTTCACAATGTCTACTAGACTGACATTCTCAAAAAGCAGCAATTGATTACACACCAAATATTAGGCAACTTCACATTTGGTCATGGGTGTAGAAGAGTGAGCTTAATCTAACCCTTCCCTTGTTCACGCTATCTGGCCTCTACCACTTATCCAAGTCAACCAAGTCAAATGACCAGGGACAGTATACCCAGAACAAGAAATGTACAGCTAAATACAAAAGGTGATAGCTCTGCACAAAATAGCCTATGTCAAAAGGTTTTCAAAGAAAGAAAATTAAATCTTCCTTCAACAGGAATCACCCTTCCCACCATTGTGTTATATAACAGAACGCTTTTTCAATTACAGATAAAATGCTGCATTGTTTTTACTCTTTCAGTTCAAATTGTGCACTTCACAAAGGACTCTCCTCCACATTAAGAATTATCAGACATTCACAAAAACATCCTAAAGCAGAGCTCCAAGGCAATTTAAAACTTCTTCTATGGAAGTGGTCAACATGTCTAAGAACTAGGACTGGCACAGACCAGGGAGCTAGCCAGAACATTTTCACAAATGTGGAATGTGGAAAACAAAACTTAAGATCTTCCTCCATGCCTCAAGGAGGAGAGCTAAGACTTCATACAATGTAAACATCAGCTGGAGACCAAGGAAGTTATGACTAATTGGTACTTATGTCTAGGTTTGCTTAAAGGTTATTCAGTATCCTCAAGAACCGCTTGAACTTCTGTTGATTGAGTTCCAATAAGAACTCGGTGTTTTTCCATTGCAAAAAAGAAAAGAATATATATTAATTGTTTAAGAAATTACTTTACATATGCTGGTAAGAAGAACTATCATCTTTAAGCCTCCAGTTATGAAGCGGATTTTTAAAAAACTACTGTCCCATATACAGATTTTTCTTTAATCTATTGCAGATCTGTTTAGGGGCTTCTTGTCATAAGGTTATTAAGTGCTCTGAATGAGCTATTAAAATGTCAGTTCTATGTGAAAATTAGAAAGGAAGCCATTGAGGAGTTGCTATAGCTACAGACCAAGCAGATGTCATCATCAAGTTCTGAAAAAGTTATTCAGGTCTAAACAATACAACATCTGCATTGTCCTTGAAAACAGACTGATTTTATTGTTTTGTATTCTTCATATATAAAATGTGCTTGGTCAAGTTTTAGAAGTTGCATTTCAGCTCACACGTAGTTTAAATGTACATCCAGGTAACAGAACTACTTCACAGGTTAATTTTCTAAAGGTGCAGCAATTATCCTCCATTTATTCATATTCTAGCAGAAGGGCTAACAATAAATTAGTTTGTTTAAAATAAAGCATTTTTGAGAGAGAGAGAGAGTATAGGATTTAGATCAATCTGTTTGTTTCTACTGAAATGCTTGTCATTATAATGAGCAATGGAATGCATGGGAAAGAGGCCTGTATATTGAAGAACCCACAGGTGCAGCATATTTCTGTGCAGAAAGACACATCAAGCCACAGGGTCATAAACTAGGTAAGATTTGTCCTCAAGCACAGCACTTTATTTTTCTCCCCTATGAATGAAGAGCAGTCATTCATTTATATAAGAGAAAGTAAATGGGTTTACTCAGATGCTGCTGCTCAGGTGATGGATGACCTTGTGTCTGGAGTGAAAGATGCCTCTATTCCACCCTCAACCATGTCCCAGTCTGAATGGGAGCCACTGAGAACTGAGCCAGCCCTTATTTGCATAGCTTAGAAGGGGAAATATCCAGTTCTTAGAACGGCCAGGCCAAGCAGCTACTTCCTGAATAAAAAAGAAGAAGAAGAAGAGTTTGGATTTGATATCCCGCCTTTCACTCCCCTTCAGGAGTCTCAAAGCGGCTAACATTCTCCTTTCCTTTCCTCCCCCACAACAAACACTCTGTGAGGTGAGTGGGGCTGAGAGACTTCAAAGAAGTGTGACTAGCCCAAGGTCGCCCAGCAGCTGCATGTGGAAGAGCGGAGACGCGGACCCGGTTTCCCAGATTACAAGACTACTGCTCTTAACCACTACACCACACTGGCAAACAATATGCCTCAAGTCTCTCTTGGGGCAAGTAGTACCTCATCCCTAATCTCATACTTTGTTCTGTTAACCACTGATGATCTGTGAGCTCGATTCAGGTAGTCCATGGAAAGACTGTGGAACAGACAATAATACTTGCACTATTTTTCTGATGACAGAGTTCAAGGCTCTTTCGACCAGAGCCAAATTATCAAACAGGCAAAATGGCACAGCCATCATATGGTGCTGGATTTGACAATGATGCCACCAGTGATGGAGAAAGGCTATTTTTCTTCATATTTAATCCAGAAATGAACTGTGATGACCCCCCCCCCACTTCCCCACAAATTAGAATCACCATACTACACTAATTGGTTGCATTTTGCCCTGTGTATGCATTGGAATCTTTAAAACAGCCTTCCCCAACCTATTTCAGCTTGCATCAGCTTTGGCTGGTGGAACAGCTGAACTCATATCTGGACAGGGACAAGCCAGCTACCATTGTCTATGCTCTGGTAATCTCTAGGTTAGATTAAATCTCTAGGTTAGATTACTGCAACAGTGTTATACATAGGGATGCCTCATAAAATGGTTCAGAAACTTCAGCTGGTGCAGAATTTGGTGGCCACGTTGTTCACTGGGGCAAGATTGTTTGAGCATATTACACCAATCCTGGCCTGACTGCACGGGCTGACAATTAGTTTCCAGGCCCAATTCAAAGTGCTGGTTTTGACCTATAAAGCCTTAAATGGCTCAGGACTGCAATACCTAAAGGACCACCTCTTTCCATATGAACCCACTCAGACACTTGAGAGGGCCTTCTTCGTGTGCCTCCTCCATGAAAGGTCCGGCGGGTGGCAACACAGAAACAGGCCTTTTTTGCACTGACTCCCCATTTGTGGAAAGCTCTCCTCAGGGAGATTCAACTGATGGCTTCATTGCATGCCTTTAGGTGCCAGCCAAAAACATTCTTCTTCAACCAGGCCTTTGGTTGATTAACAACCAAATCCCTCTTAAATGTATTGTGGGAGAGGGAAATTAGTTTTCCATTATCTTTTTATTATGTATTTATTTTATGGTTGGTTTTCATGTTGTAATTTTATGTTGTGAACCATCCTGAGATCTACAGATGAAGGGGGTATACAAATTTACTAAATGTAAATAGTAATGATAATACGAATAAGAATAGTGCCACTCAACAAGTTCCACAGCTCCCCAAATAGGTGACCATTGATAATATTGGCTAAAGCTGACAGAAGTTATAGTACAAACCATCTAGATGGCACCTTGTTGGGCAAGACAGCTCTAAAGTCTTATTTTTTAAATGACAGGCTAACTGTGATTGATTATCAGTTAAACATCCGGCTAGTTCATATGACAACATTGAGGTAGGTCAAGGACTTTGAGAACTTAAAGAAGAACAGTCACCTGATCCAGGGACAGTCCACAAATATACTGGCATATTCCTACTTCTTTTTCTTAATGGTGACACAGACCATTCATAACGTAAAAATATTCTCCATAACTGTGAGCAGGATGGTGGAGTGGGGTAAGCAGAGACAATAAGTAACTGTTCACTGCTGCTGCTCAGGCTGCACAGAAAAAGCATTTTCGTTCCTGAAATTCATTCTGATTGTGCAATGATAAAATATAACTGATAGAATTCTACAGGATGTGGCATTTGTGTGTGAAAACAGTCAAGATCCAATGATCCTCAAGCATGCACTTTGGCAATTATGTGGGCTTCTACAAGTTCCCCTTCCAACTGCAAGTTCTCAGGCTTCAACAAATGCTGTTCAGGGGAGATCCCTTTTAAGGTCAGTTGGAGTGACAGATGAAGAAACATGGTTCTTTGGATCCGCCACCATGTTTTAAATATATAAAAAGTTCTCTAGTTAAGTATTCATCATTATATTCACTCTCATGGGACTTACTCCGCAAGAAGGGTTGGTTATCAATCTGCAAAGCATAAGTTCATAGTAACTGAACCAGTTATTTCATCATTTTACATTAATGTCTGAATCAGAACTGAACATGATGATTAGATTCGGTTCAGAGTTAGGTTTAGGTCTCAATTATGCCAGTTTCAAATTGAAATTATACCACAAACTTCAAGGAAAATTTGATCCTCAAGCAAAGTAGCTACTCCTTGTCCAAACATCAGGAGCAGAAATAAGCTGAGCCACCTGCTGACTAGGTTCTGCCAGATCTGCTACATCAGTCTTTATTTAAAAAACAAAACGTAAAATCCATTCAAATCTGTTTCAGAATAGTTAACCTGATCTTTTACAATACTGTTTAGCTGGACACTATTTCCTAATACAAACTTAAGAGAACCTTTTAAGTTTCCCTAGTAGCTGCTCAATAGCAGCCGCACATCCAATGCATTTCTTTATTTATTTAAGGCATTTATATCTTGCTTTTAAATCCAATGGCTTCACAAGTTAGTACACAATCAAGATAAACAACTATAAGTAAACCAAAACGTCAGCAAAACTACCAAATAAAATAAGTATCAATAAAATCAGTGCCACAAACACAGCAGCAACATCTTGTTGTTGATTAAAAACTAAAGGTAAAGAAAATCACTTTTAACACACAGCTAAGATGTTAAAAGGAAGGGTGCCAGACAGGCCTTTCTGAGAAGGCAACTCTAAAGATGGGATACCATTCCTATGTCCAGTTGCCACCAGACAAAACACACAGTGACAGGCCTCTGAAGGCAATGTTAATGAACAGACAATTAGAATATTGGGAGCAGCCCATTCTTCAGAATGTTAGATGGAAATAGCCAGAAAATAAGCATGCATCACATGGCTTCCTCCACAAACGTAAGGGAAACGTGTAAGTTTTCACTCATAAATCTGGACAGGTTTAGGGTGCAAAAAAAGTCTCAAAAAAAAAGGGAAATAGGGCCACTACCATAAAAGCAGTGGGGCGGGGGGGGGGGAGAATAGAAGATGTTTCCAGGTTTGGTGGCCTAGATTTGAAAGAAAAGGGGAAGTCTCCTACAGGGGTTTGGGATGAAAAGAAGTGAGATAAGAAGGGGCAACCACATTTTAACATAAAGGTGGAAGGAAGGAGGAAAGAGCACAATGGAGCCTGCAGGATCCAAACACAGAACACTGCACCTTTAGAAGAGGTATCGATGGGAAATATCCAAACATCAAAAAGGAGAATAAATGGGAGAGAGAGAAGAAGAGGTCAAGGAAAGCTGGGTTTCCTCGCCACAGGGAGAAATGGTGGTGAGTGGGCAACAAATAAGCTGCAAAAGGTAGAAGAGGCAGCACTGCATACTTTTAAAACACACGAACACAACTTTATAACTCACACTATAGACCTGCTTCACAAACCTCCCCCCAAGAAACGCAGAGCCAGGCAGCAGCAGCAGCAGCCGCCCGAGAGGTTTATCTGCATATGCTCAGGAACCCTCTGGTTCCGGTTCTCGGCCGCCCCAAACGCTCCGGGCCCGAGCCCCGGGTTTCAGGGGAGGTCGCAGCCGGGCCCAGCCGGAAGGGAAGCAGGAGCGGCGGGCCGCGCCGGACCCCGCGCCCGCCCGGGGGGGGGGTCTCCTCCTGGCGCTGCCTCCCCTCACCTGCTCAACTCCCAGGAAGACGTAGAAGTTTTGCGGGACCTCCTCCACCAGGTCGAAGAGCTCCAAGTCTCCGCTCTCCCAAGCCGAGGCGCGCTGCGCGAGCAGGAGGAGCGCGAGCAGCAGCAGGGGCCGCCGGCGCAGCCCCGCCGAGGGTCGCGTGGAGCAGCCCATGGGGCCGAGCAGCTGGCCTCTTCAGCCAGGCTCTCCTCAGCACAGCCGCTTGCGGCAGGACCCGGCAGACGTGGCCGGGCAGGACGCTCGCCTCCCACTGCGCATGCTCCAGCGTCCGCGCCGGTTCCGCCCCTCCCCCTGCGAATCCCACGGAGGGGGAGAGCAGGGCCTCCGCCAATCGCCGCCCGCCGCACCTCTGTCGTCACGACGCCTAGCAACCGGCCGATGCCGGGAGGCTTGTGTTTTGGGAAGGCCTGGAAGAAAAGAAACCTCCAGCCAGGCCGAGGGAGGCTGCGAGGGGAGGGCAGCTGCCAGCCGCCCCCACATCCAAGGGGAAACGAGGCCTCTCTCGCGCTATAAACAAAACAGGATCCTTCGCAACGGCACACAGCCACCCATAAGCGCCCACAAAAAAGCCTCCCGCGCGCTTGTTGCGAAACTTTTTCAGACAGCGTGACAGGAGAGCCTGCAAAAGAGCCGTGTCAAGGAGGCGTGGATTCACACGTTAGCTCAAGACACGGAACTCGCTGGGTGGATCTTAGGTTCGGTCCGCTAGTCCTACACTCCCTAGGTTGCTGCGGGGATACGAATGGGATAATCGTTCGAATATAGCAGCAGTTTACTGTATTATTCAGCAAAGGCCTCAGAGAGAGAGAGAGAAGGAAATTATATTACAAATGATGATTCAAGCTTTGTCGCTTTCACGGATTTGTCATAGATGAAGCTTAACAAGTGCCTCTATTCACCAACTGATTTTGGGAAAGCGTGAAGATTTTTGGGAAAGCATATGACGTTACACAAAGGAGACCTATTTCTGCCCACACAATCGTTTTGCATAATGGAACTGTCACTAGGATGATCATTGCTGATTTGTTTTCAGTCCCTTTCCTTATCATTGTTAATACAGTACTGATTTTGCCATTTTTGCAGCTCCAGCACCTGTAGTTGATGCCGTCAGTGAACTATCCGCTATGACCCCAAGATCTTTTGCGTCACAGTCACAGTACCAATCTGCCGGTGTAGATGTGCATAATATTAGACATGTTAAGTCAGTAATACTCTGCCCACCTTCACTTTTTTGCAAACGGTTACTAAGCTTGTGGTTGTTAATTTGTTTTAAACTGTTTTTAATGCTGTATTTTAAATTGTTGTGACTTACCCTGAAAATGTGCTCACTTTTAATTCCTTTGTGTAGAGTGGGACAAAAACATTTTCACCTTGCACCTAAATGAGGACATCAATGTCATTTGTGTTGGAGTTCCATAACCTCAAATATAAATATTTAGCCACACTTTTATCTTCTTAAAGGAATTTAAAATGAGTATAAAGCTCCAAACACTACTGTGAATCTACCTCAACAAAAATTAGTAAATCAATTATTATCAGCTAAAACTCATTCTCAGGTGGTACTTAATCACTGTCAGGCTTCACTACATGAATGCTAAATACGTATTTTAAAAGGCTGCCAGATATCCAGACAAAACCAAGAATGGATTGTGTGGTGCAGTGTTCATAGCCATAAAGCACCTAATTGTGATTGCTCTTCTTGTTGTTATTACCAACAATTACTAGTGCATGGTACAATAAAAGCAGGTTCTGCCCACAATCTAAAAATTAATAGACCAAACTGTGCCTTATGGCTTTTCAATCACCACTCACTTCCCTTATTTTATCAGGAGTTATTGATCCATAAAGTTGTGGAGTGGGATGGGCCATCATTTCATACATGCTTTAGAAGTAGGATCTAACCAAAGATACATCTGTAGAAACTGGTTTTTGTTTTGTTTGATGTATTAAATATCTAATTGGGCTGGTACAGTCTAAATCCAGTATTTTAAATATAACCAGTATGATGTTCTGCAGTAAAAGCCCATTAGAATTAATACTGCGGTCTCCCCTGCATTTCTTAAAGTGTATTTTATGAAAAGCAGTCACATCAGCTTTGAAGTCTGCCACGGGAGTGTTGGTGTATGTGTGATCTTAAATCTTTGCCCTCTGCGATTTTCCCCACACTCCAAATTGTCTTTCCTATGCTACTTTTCCACTCACAGGAAGAAAAGATTCTGATCCAATTCACATCCTCCCGTGATAGCTTTTCATTACATCCATTTGCTATGTAACGATGAGTAATCAGAAGACTATCTGAATCTGACAAAGCTCAGTTAAAGGGAGACAATATATCTTTTGAATCTGTATTATAATGTTATCAACACAATATTTGTAACAGAAATAGCTTTGAATTTCAATTATTAAGCCATTATATTACCATCGCATTCTAAACTTTTGTGGTAAAGATAAATATCCATCAATGAATACTTGCTTTTAAAAATATTGTCGGTTAAATCACACTTAATAGTAATAATAATATCCCATAACAACCTCTTATGTTGGAAACTATGTTGGGCCATGCTGCTGGCTATTGAGAGACAATGGGCAAACTTCATTATGAATTCCGCTGGCAACCTATGTGAAATAAATCCTAAAAGTGCAATCTACATGGCGCTTAGTTTTCTTTTTGATGGCACCTTTTGCGTGCAAATAGTTTGAGCAATTCTGGAGAGCCTAGCAGACAGGCAACTCCTGTTTACTCATCCTTAAGAGATCTGATTATACAATAACTGTAATCAAAAACTTGGTCACCTCTGAGCATTCTTAAACAAGTTCTATGGCGTGCACTGTTCATGCTGATTACCAAGAGGCAGGACAGTTGGGTCTCATCATTGCCCCATGAAAATATTTCATAGAACACAACTATAGTAGTAGAAGTCTCAGGAGGTGCCTGGGTCACCCATCCAAACTAGCTATTGCCCTCTTCCTGGACTGGAAGGGCTATAAAAGGCTTCCTGTTGAGGCTGAGACCTTGCTTGAGTAGCAAGCTCTTCCTAACTCTAATGTGGTTCTGTGCATATCTCTGCATGTGACTCTCTGCTCCCCTCCAAGAACTGCAGATAGTTCAGACTTGACAGGAAGATTGGTAATGAGGGTAAGCTGTCTTTCAGGGAAGCTTGTCCACAATGTACCAATGCTGACTTCTAACGAAGGAATTGCTGGCAGAAGTTCAAGGTCACCCAACACATTTTGAACACAACTGTTCTAGACTACAATCTACATACTACAGAACACATTGTTTGAAGTCTGGGACTTAAATAATAGCACACAAATAAGGTGTTCGTTTACCCAAACAGGTAGGTAAGAGCTAGTCATTCTATTAATTTAAAATAATTGCCTGCGAAGAGCCTAGACTTAAATCCCACCCAAATGGCCAACATAATCCCATAATAATGCGATAATACCTCAGCCAAAAGACTGTTGCTTCTACCTGTCTAAGGAGCTGATACCAAGCCTAGTTAGAGCAGGCCTGGTATCAGCTCCTGACATCCTTGGACAGCTGCCAAGGCCCCAATGTCACAGAAGGAACCATCACTGCTGCCTGTCCTGGGCCTCCTTTAAACAAACACATTGGCCTGGTGTTCCAAACAGCAGCAAACATCTGTGCCTAGCTGACATTTTCATTTTCCACAATGCCTCAGACATGGTATCACTTTGGAGCATTGTGGGAAATTATAACGGCAGCCTCCAGTTACCTGATGTTCCTGTTGCCTTCCACCACGACAAGCTCAACCCACCAATGCCCACCAACAGAAAATGGCCCCCACAGGACTGATCTTTGCTTAAAGCAGGAGCTGGTTCTGAACTAGAGTACTCATTTCACCCACCTACATTTCCAGCTTTTAAAGTAATCAAACCTTAAATTTCACAACTGTTTTCATGTAAGATTCATGGATATTTGCAGTATTTTTTTTTTTAAAAAACCATTTGACCACAAGGGGGCAAGGAGAAATTTCTCTCAGCCATTCTCAGTTCACAACATAATTATTCTCTTAAAGGTTTTTTTCCCTTGCCATTAAGATGAAATATGGAGCAAGTTAAAATCATGAGGAGAACCTTTATGCCAACAACTTATCTCCTACCACTGTGCCTTCAATTCTAATGTGCAGTTGATATTGTCTTATTTTGTTGTCAGCTGCCTTGGAAGTTTTGACAAATTGAAGGGCAACCTACAAATGTCTTAAATAAATCCTAGGAGTAAACCCCATTGAACATACTGGGGTTTCCTTCAGAGCTAATATACAATTGGATTGTCTTGAAAATTATGTTAAGGGTTAGAAACTGTGGTCCTCAAGGCATTTTGCACTTATCCCAGTGAGGCATGTCATTTCAGAAATGTTCTAGGCTAGAAAAGCCAACTAGAGAAATATAAAATACAACAGGGATCAATAAAAAGAAGATACTGCATCAGGAAGTCACATTTTTCCTGATTCTTGGTTGATTACAAGAAGCATGATCAGTGATAATGCTTCAAAGAAAGAAAATCTGATGTGGAACATTTGGTTCTGAACGAAAGCATCTAAAATTCTACTAGCAGCGTTTGTTAACTTCCAATATCCTTTTGCTCCTACCATTATTCATTTCAAGTGCCTTGCTCTCATTTTCTCCAATATGTTACCATAAAATATTGACCTGCATTGGATGTAGCACCATAGTGACTAAACCATAGTTTAGTGTTACATACACAAGCCTGCTCTCCTCCCACAACTAGCTGCAGATTAGAAGCATCTGTTTCCATTTTAATCTAGTCACAGTTTCATCCAAACTAGGAAATGTAGTTAATTTTAAATATGGTATATATTCAAACAAGTTAAGATCAGAAACCACGGTTTGAACTTGGCTTGTTTAGATAAACCATCATTTAAACTTACTATAGTTTGTTCCATTTTGGATGAAATAACAAATTGCAATTAATTTAAACTAGAAGCAAATGTTTCCAGTAATCTCCTCACAGCTATTTCAGATAAGTTAAAGATCACATAAGCCTGTACAGTGGTACCTCGGGTTAAGTACTTAATTCGTTCCAGAGGCCTGTTCTTAACCTGAAACTGTTCTTAACCTGAAGCACCACTTTAGCTAATGGGGCCTCTTGCTGCCACCGCACCGCCAGAGCACGATTTCTGTTCTCATCCTGAAGCAAAGTTCTTAACCTGAACCACTATTTCTGGGTTAGCAGAGTCTGTAACCTGAAGCATATGTTACCTGAAGCATATGTAACCTGAGGTACCAGTGTATCTCATTCATGTAACACTATGGTTTAGTGTTACATCAAAATACATCAATTTGTTTTCCTCCTCCTACAAACCAACTTTCTGTTTCTTTGTGCAGGGTAGATGACTTCTAAGGTCCTTCCATCTCTATGATGTTATCACTTGCCCGACAGTTCAGTGTGATAGAGAGAATATCTGTCATTATCAAAAAACATACAGCAATAGGGAAACGAAGGAGAAGCTGTCCTACAGACTGCAGTGACTTGCTGGGTATATATAGCATAAGGAATCAGGCCATCTCTCAAGTACACTGATCCTGGGCTGTATAGGGTCTCATATGTTAGTAGTAACACTTCAAACTTGACCCAGTAGCAGATTGCCAGTGCAAATCCCACAAGCAAAGTGTTATATACTGTCAGTAGCTTGTCCCCATAGGGAACCTGCTGACTGTGTTCTGCACCACCTACAACCTGCAGACCAACCTCAAACATAACCCCACATGGAGTGCATTGCAGTCGTCCAGTGTGAAATTACCAATGCATGGACAATTGTGGTCAAGCAATCCCACCGAAACAACTTATAATAACATTCATAACGTAGGATTGTCCTATCTCCCCAAACTTGTGCCAATGGTTTTTTTGTGCTGGTTTTGTGCAACAAACCTTAGCTTCATGCCACTACAAAGGAAATTCTGTTAACAGAAGAGTTTTGCTTTGCTTTTTAGGCAGTAAACAAAGATTGTAACTGCAGCACTAATTGTACATTTTGCTCTAATTACAGTCAAGGAACAGTTATGGAAGCAGTTATGGAAAACTCTTGCACTGGCAATCATTCCTGGCAGCTTTGCACTGCAAAAGCCCTTTCTCTCCCCATGAGCCAAAGCCAGGCAAAAGCCACGCCATGCATGATATCACCACATATTGTTAATGTTGTACTTGTCACAAAGCACATTTTGTCGCTAACGCAAGTTGTACCATGAGTAGCATATGGCACAGCAGAAGGATCAATAGCAAAGTGTCAGGCATTGGATAAAATAATTCAGCCAGGATATCACTACGATGGGCCTTTTTGATACAAATTAGGTTACCCATTTGTGAGGTAATGAAAACATCCAAATCTGAGTGAACTACTAAAAAAATTATTTGTCTTTCGGGTCTCCCTGTTCAAAACATTATTATAAAACATCACATAATGTAGGCCTCATAATAAATTGTTAGAACCTAACATTTCAAAATAATTACCTGGACAGTAATGCTGTAGAAAGCTATGGAGATAGTTACACTGTCAATATTCTGCTACACTGTGCTATACAGAGATTCTTACTGTTTCGGCATTTAAGATTCCAATCTGATCAAAATAACTAATGGCACTGATTATTTAGTTCTCTTATTTTTCTCTAAAAAGCAAAGCAGGGGATTTATTTTAAGGGTTCTGTCTTTCCTGTTTATGAGGATCAAGTTATTAATCAACACCTTGTAAACACTGTTCAGATAAAACATCAACTGGTGGGCAAATACATATACAGTATATGAAAAGGGATCTGTAATCAGGAAAATGGAGGGGATAGGGGAGACACCATTGTATCCACATCTCATAACTTGATGTCCCTAGGGGATGGATAAAAACATGTGGACCTCCAGATGCTGTTGCACTCCAGGGCTCTCTCCAGGAAGGCTCACCTGGTGCCATCATGACATGCCTTTATGCACCAGGCAAAAACATTTCTTTTTCACCAGGCCTCTGAGCTACGTGCTTACAATAATACAGAATTTAGTCCTACAATTGTCACAACACCTTCTTGTTCACATGCCATCAGGACTGCAAGGATACATACAGCAATATTTTTGGTAGCTGTGCCTCTCAACCATGGCGTTCCTACAAAACTAACAAAAGCCCAATCTTTGGGCCAAACTACACATTACATACAAGTGTGTGTCTCTGTTGTATTTGTTTTTAAATTAAAATCAGCCTCAGAGGACTGGAGCAAAGGAATGAGGGCGCTGGCATCCTAAAACTCTTTGCTCTCCTAGTGCGCATTTAGTATTTAGAATGCCAACACCAACTATGCAAGGGTAAATTTACAGGGATGAAAACACACCTGTAAATTTGCTGGGGGAGGGAGCATCCTGAGGAAACAAAAAGAGACAAAAAAACCACCTTAAAACGGCAGCTTCCTGATGTGACTTTTTATTTAATTTTTTAAAAACTATTTTGATTTCATTACACACGTTTGCATTAAACAGTGTTTATTTTGCAGTTTTATATCATGCCTTCCTTGTTTAGTTTTATTTAGAGCTGTACTCCCAATATGTTTTCACCTAAAAGTGTAAGGTGTGAATGTGACAAAGATTAATGTTTTCACACACTTGCATCAAATAAGCAAACCCATTGGGGGACCAGAATTAGCCACAGTTCCCCGCTGAGTGTACACTA